CTGCCCATGGCAGGGGGGTTGTAACTGGATGAGCTTTAAGGTCCCTTCCAACCCAAGCTGTTCTATGATTTTCCTTTCACACATTTTATAATGCAGGTGGATGGTGAAGTGTTTTGCTGGAGTGAAGCATAAAGGCAAGGCTTGGGCAGGAGGTGACTTACTTGCTGTTAGCAGGACTCCACAGCTGTGTCTGCAGGCGGGGATCCCCATTGTGTCAGGCAAGGAAGGGGTCCTCTGCCACCAAAGGAGCCCCGCTGCCCAGGGAATAGAGATCTTACATGTTACAGAGCAGCTGGCCACTGTTTCTCAGGACTTGCTTTACCTCCTTGGTGTGCTTAGAGAAGTCACATCAAATTAAATACGCCTTTTCAGAAATCATGGCATATCAAATTATTTGAATTGGTCGTGTGAAGGACTTCATATGTATCCCTGTATCTCTAGGAAGTTACATGTTTTCTGAATGAAGCCAAGGAAAGATGAGCACTGCGTAGGTTGAAAGATGAAGTAGAAAATGTAAAATACAACCTCTAATGCATATTATATACCCAGATGACATCTTCTTAGAATCAGAAATCCTATTTAAGTTACTCCGTTGGAGCCTCAGAGGCTGCAGCTCTCTGACCAGGCACAATTTCCTGGACAGACCCATTTCTTATTATTCAAAGTGAGCCGATTCTCTTTGTCTGATATGTTTTTGAGTAGGTTTCTCTACTCCAGGGTTCAGGAATGCTTGACATCTGCAAAAGAGTGGTTTCAGAATCATTTGACATGGTATGTGTATCCCAAGTGCTATGTCATTCATCCACTGATTACAGTATGATATTGGCAATTGGGATTAAGGACCAAAACAGGAAAGAGAGGAACTGCCAGCAAAGGAGGGAGTAATACATAGCATAATAAAGAAGTAATCAATAGCAGCCAGCTAGAGGAGGACAAATGGAAATGTGACAGATTCACAATCAGCCAGATCCCCAGTCCACTGGAATCACAGGGTTTGGGTTGTGCCTAACACTGTTTCTTTTAGTACCCTGTTCATTACTGTGGTTGATGACCATAATGGTACTGGTATTGTCCTGGGTTCAGCAGTAGCAGTCATTTTTCTCCTTCTTGGTAGCTGGTGCAGTGCTGTGTTTTGACTTTCGGCCTGGGAACAGAGCTGATAGCGGTGTTTTGGTCTGGCCAAGGACTTTGTGAGTCTCATGCTCTGCCAGGGAGGAGGGGAAGCCAGGAGGAAGCATAGACAGGACACCTGACCCAAACTGACCAAAGAGCTATTCCATACCACAGCACGTCATGCCCAGGATGTAACAGAGTTACCCGGAAGGGCTGTTAGACTGCAGGGCTGGAGGAGGTATCGGTCGGTGCTTGGTCGGGCTGGGGGGGCGAGTTATTGGTTGGCTGGTGGTGAGGTGGTATATTCTCTTGTTATTTCCTTTATCATTGTTATTATTGGTGGTAGCAGTAGTGATTTGTGTTATACCTTGGTTACTAAACTGTTCTTATCTCAACCCATGGGAGTTGCATTCTTTTCGATTCTCCTCTCCGTCCCTCTGGGAGCAGGGGGAGGGCAAGAAAGGGGGGGAAGTGAGCGAACGAATTACCTGACTGGGTTTAAACCACGACAGGTATTTATGGAGAGATTGTTTTAAGGATTTTGTGATACTAAGAGGGAAAGAAAAAGAAAATAAACTCAGAAAAGAAGTGGAGGGGAAAGTAAGTGGTGTAATAAATAAGAGCAACATCAGTAGAGGAAGAAATAGATTCCCTACTGAACTTATCACTGAGCTTGAAGGATTTGTTTTACTTTAAAAAGTATTCAGCCACAAAACATAGAACATGAGAACACAAAATTTCAAGCCCAGTTTATTCAGACTTCCAGCGCTTTCTCAGTATTCAGGATACAGTTTTACTTCCAAATTCTCTCTGCTAGAGCAAAGGAGCAGCTTTACTTGTCAGTCAGGAAAGCAAGCCATGGAAATCAAGTGACAGTAAGTACACGTGCTTAAAATAGAATGCCTTTTGCTCCAAAATCTTAAAATGCAACAAAGCCATTCATAAAGTAAGTCTCCCTTCACGATGCTCTATAAAAGATAACAATATTACACTCCCCTGCTCCCCCAGTGGACGTGGAGGAAACTTGAAACTTTTTTTTTGTAAAAGGAATATTTTTTAGAATTTCTGACTCTCAGTAAAGACCTCCATTCATATCCCTATTTAAACATTCTTTAAAATATTTGCCTGTGTTTTTTTCTTCTCCCATTTCTATATTTGTAAGATTATTTTCAGTGAGGGAAAAATGGACTGGCACTTGCCATAATCTTTCAATGCCTGTATCAAGCTCCATGTACAGCAGTTTGAGAATGGATCTGCATGCAACAGTAACATTTAAATGCCAAATATCCTTCCATGGGCAAGGAGAGCAAGCCAAGAGAAGACAAACTATTTTCCTCTGGATTCCTTAAAAATAAAACCACTTTTTTTTTTTTTTTTTAAATTAACTTTGATTCTTCTGTGTGTGTGTATATGTTTGTGTTTCCCTTCTTATTCCAAGTAATAACTTTCCTTGACCAGTGTAAGTCAAACTGAACACCAAGGCAGAGCTTTCAAAAATGGAAAATTCCCACCAGATACGTGACAGTGTACAGAAAAGAAAAAACTCATTGAAAGTGCTAGTGAACTACAGCCTCAGCACGTACTAGTTGATCGAGAATGTACGTTGCAAACAGAAGATAGGAATAATGCAACTGGCTGAAGACTTAAACTGGTTTCACATATTACAAGACATCCGGGAACACAGCCATAAGCCATGAAAGCAGTACTAGTTTCACTTTGCCTGGAGCTTTTTTGTTTTACTGTTGCGTTATCTCATATGACCATGTTTCTTTTGCTGTTCTCTGTTACTCCTAGGTCACTTTCAGGTCCACTGATTTCCTGGAAATTCAGTGTGACCTGACTTTGGAGACATTTCTTCTTGGGAGCATTGGGCTGTATCTTCTACAGCGTGATATTCTGCTGCTTCTGTTCTCTCTAGGGTGTTTTTGTTGTCTTTGGTATGTCTTTATTCTCCTAAACTGGTATGAACTGCGGGTTTCGTTAGAATTTTCTTAACTTTGTGATTTTTGTCACTTTATTTCATGTATCAAGCACCACCCCTGGAGAATACCAATAGGCAAATCATTGTGAATCAAAACTTTATCTTTTGTTATTCTCTATTTAAGGTTCTGCAGCCTGGTTTAGATCTAGAAATCTCCTTCATATCCCACCCCATCCTATCATTCCCTTAAAGTAATTTTCAATTAATTTTTAATCCAGAGGCTTGGCTGGTAAGGATAGTTAGTGAGAATATGAATTTACAGCATACTAATGCCCGCTGATCTCAATTCCACCCACGGCCCAATACCCAGTACTTCCTATTGGTGTGGTGTACATCAAACCTGAGTTAAAGCCAGTGGCAAATGCTGGACAATGCAACTGGGGAGGAATTAAGGGCATCTGAATATAATGCTTACCATCCATACAGTGAAAAGCAGCTTAGTTCAGCTTGCCTTTTAACACTGCTGGCATCTGGTAGAAATTAGAGTAGCTAATTCCATCGGCAGACAGCCTTCAGAATCTGAGATTTATGCTGGCTTCCAGATTATTAGATTTGGTATATTAAGACAGAGGGGCAGATAAACACATAAGCTTGAAACTGTAAACATTATGTACAAAGTACAGATGGCTATATGCATCATTTTTGGCTTACTGAAAAGCACAAACTCACAATAACTATAGCTTTTGGTGCTAACTATAATGTATCTCAACAGATTGGTATTATTTTAAATGAGGGCCACGTGCTTAAGTGTTTAAACCTGCATGGCATATATTTAAACTGACCCTTTCCCACAGCCTCCTGTGCTTCGAAACAGATGGAGTCACAATTCACTTTTGAGATACAGAATAAAGAGAAATTATTAATCTTTATGAAATTTTCTTCATAGTAGACATGTTGCCTTCTTTTGTATGTGTGAATGCTTAGGAGAGAATTGATTTTGGCAGGAGCAGGGTGAAATGCAGGTTGGGGGGGGGGGGGGGGGGGGGTCCAGGATCACTGGGAATGGCGAACTGATTCCTCGCACAGATGGCAGCACAGAAGCTATGACAAAGATAGAAAGAAGAAGGATCTCAGGGCGAGTAAGATTTACAGAACAAAGCGAGAAAAAACATTCAGATCCCCATGTGAAAGAAGTGGCAATTCAACTGCAGAAACACCAGTTCAGCAGTGGCAGTTAGTAGTAACACATTATTTTATTGCATAATTACTGGCTGTTGGATGTTTGAAAATGCACTGACGTCAAGTAACCATCTTGTAATGTACTGCTGGTCTAAGTAGACCTTTATCTTTATAAACCATAATTGGAGATCAATCATTAGTCAGTGAGCACATAACCTACCCTATCCATACAGCCAGAGTGAGAACTGGTAAATAAATGACAGAGCAACAGGGAATTGACAGGCTGGGCAAATCGTTTGTGACCTTCTGTCTCACATGCTTCAGCGTTTGTTGGAGATTTACAATCACCCCCACCCGTGAAATACTTGGAGGTTAGTGACACTGGAGTTGGAAAACTTATGGAGCCATTTTACCTTTCTGCCTTGCACGGTAAACACGCTGGTGATAAGACCTGAGTCCATTTTCTGCTGCAATACCTGCAAAAGCATCATGAATTGCTGAGGAAGGGGTGCAGATCCAGACTGATGGGAAGCTGTCATGCTTGGCATTTATAATATTTAAAATATTGAAAATACATAGATATAAAATTATGTATCTATTGTGTTTATCTTTACTCGCATTCTATGTCATGTATGGTAAAGTGTAAGCCTGTTGGATTTGGTGACAGGTGATACATTTTTCCACTCACTGTGGTGGGCTGGAGTTCCTGCTTTACAGTATGTGGAAACTAACAAGAAATGTGGTAACATGAGCCAGAAAAAAAGCCTAAAAAGATACAAGAACTTGATAGATCTTAAACACTTCATATTTATTGTACATTAAATAAAACAATTTCAGTTCAGTTGAGAGACTGATGGGTTGGATTTAGGAAACCAAAACTTCTAAAGGAAGATATATTCAGCATAAATGATCAAGTACATATGCATTAAGTATGTTATAGTAAAGCCGTATTCTGTTAAACAATTCTCAGGTGAATAAGATACATTATCAAAGAGGTATGTTTTCCAAGGGTCTTATTGCACATCTACTGGCTAATCCGTGTACTTTCAGTCTAAGAAAGATATGCTTTGTACCACCAAGTACAAACTCTGACTGCCTCCTCAGGTTTATTACACAGCTTCTCCTCTTTCTTCGTTAAAAAACAGAACACAGTATCAAACAGAAAATAAAGCTGAACAGCTGAACATTAACAAAACATTTGTTGTCTTCAGTTCATTTCAATTCAACCCAAAGCAATCCATGCGTATTCTTTCCTTTCAGTAAGAGCAGGTAGGGAAAATGAAAACAACAAATAAGAAACAAAACAAAAAAAAAAAAGAAAAAATTCCCCAACCGCACATTTGTTCTGTCATTGCAAGAAATAAAATGCTGTAATTCTGCTACCAAATTCCAGTGCAGTGGGGGGAAACACTGTGGACGGACTCTCACTTCCCCTCAGTTTTGTCTGCCTGTATTTCACGCATGTATGAATCAATGATATGGGGAGGCACGCCATCCATCAGTAGTCTGAAGAACGAAAGCCCACCTATAAACAAGGAATAAGACACTCTTCAGGTTGAAGCTCCCTGGAGCGACACTTTGTACCTTTTTTTCTGGTGTAAGCTACAAAGATTTAGGCAGTCCCTATTGCATATTTCATTGTGTGATATGATAAAATTAATCCCTGTTCAAAAGTTCAGCACAAGAATTAACCATTATTTAATCCCTGTACTATAAAGAGCTTTCCTGTCTTCTTGCACATGATGAATTTCATTTCTAGGATGTCATATATTCAGTCATTTATCTCTCCCCCATGCAATAGTCTGTGATAAATTTCACCTCAAATAATCCTCCTGGACTTCCATCAGGCTGGGTGGAGTATAGTGAGAGACAAAAGTCAGCCCAGGAGGAACAACACAGAAAAAACACCTGACTATGATGAGTTGTGGAGAACATGCAGACATTCAAATTATTTTAGTATTGGGTATTATAATGGTTTATAAGTTTTTAGCAAAATATTTACCACGTTGCTTGAAAATAACATGTGGGATGACATACGTGAAAGAATTATATGAAATAAAGCCAGGATTTTGGATATTGGTACCTTTGGACTCCAGAGAGAGGTGATGCAAGCTGAAACTTTCATCTGTTGGGGAATTCTGAAGAAAGAGTTTGGATTCACTTTTGAATAAAAAATAGACCACACATCATCACCTTGGATCCAGGTGCTTACTCCCTGAAAGCAGTTTCTTCCTGACTTTTCCCAGGGCTTGAAGCTATTGGTATGTGATCTCAAAGCTGTGGGAAGTCCTGCACTGATCCATAGGGGAGACTTACTTATTCCATGCTTGTGGCCACTATCTTCCTTAGCGGGAGGAGTGCGTGTCCCGGCTCACAAGCCCTGATGACAGGGACATTTTGTACTCAGTGTTTCCTCCAGCCCTGCCAAAACTGCTTTTCTTTTTTATGTGAAACTAAACTTCTTTTTCCTCCCACTTTTCAGTTCAGTGGTGGTTGGAGCCAATATTCACTGAACAAGTATCAGAAGTTCTGTTCCCAGCTTTTTTGGTCTATGTACTTAATGGCTGTGGCTCAGCTGCGATGAGTAAAAAATGGAATGAAACCTATTTTAAATTACTGCTATAATAGAAACCTGGGCTTATAAGAAAGCCATTGCAATGCTCAATGTTCTCTTTGCTGTTCTGGAAAAAAGGACAAGGCAAAAGATTTTTGAAGAGCATTTAATATTTTTGTCCAAGGCAAAATATTTCTTTCAATGCCCAGAAAAAAACATGTATGTAGTGTCTGATAGACCAGGCAGGGCACCCCAGATCCCAGTGACATAGAAGCATTAATTTAGCAAAAATAATCCAAATTAGGAGTGAAATTTCATGTAATTGAAAAATTTCACTGAAATAAAATGTCATTTGGAAGGAACAGTGGAAAAAAAGATAAACATTTTGCTAAAAAAACATTAGATTCTACCCTATCTCAAGGCGAAGGATGGCATTTGTTGTAAGAAAGCTACATACCATTACTGTTCCTCTTACAAATCTGCATGAATATTCTGTTCTGCAAATTGCAAAACCACCTGCTAATAACTGCACTTACCTTCTGAGCCTTTTCTGGAACACACCAAAAGCTTTAAAGCAAAAATACATTGGAAGGATGAAGATATCACTGTCTCTGAATGCTTCAGCTCTATGCAACTGAGCTGATACTTACGTACAGTGTTTATCCTGAGTATAGATTTTAGGAATTTATAACCTTTATTAACACAAGGATTATCCAATTAAAGTGCTATTAGTTACTATTGATTATGAGACTGTGCTATCTCATGTAACGCCATCACTGTTGCAGAACTGTTCACTCCCGACCGTAGGTAGATGCACAATACAGACAAAATAAAAAAAGAAAGCATGCTTTTTGGCATTCTTTTCAACTCATGTAGTGCAATTGTGATGAGAATCATTCGTTTTTAAATGAAATTAACTGTGGAATAAATATTTCAGTTATGTAGAGGTATATTCCTATATGAGAATAACTGTAAATGAAAAATGCTGTTTTATTACTTGCATTTTATTCATGCTAATTAATCATGCTAACTCATGCACTGTTAAATTCCGTTGAAATGTGCACTATTAGAAAGTAGTGGGATGTACTAATTAGGAATTACCATAGCAAGCAATTTTCGTAAAAATCTGGGTTTCTGTGCATTAAAACTGTCATGCTACTCATTATGAAAAAAATTTTCATTAAGTGAAATAATGAAAATCATGCCATACTAGGCAGACATTGTATGACACATAGTCATAAGCTTCATATGCAAGAACCATATGAAAGCTTACCTTAGATGCCAATATACATTCAAAAATCCTTATTGTGTAACTAAGAGAAAGAGAGAAAGAGAAGTAACAATTTAATAGCAAACACAAAAGTAGAGAGAAAATGTTGAGTGAAATTATGCTTACGATTATGTCAAGATGATGTTTTAATCCTTAGTCATGTAAAGGATGTAGGAATAGAAACACATGAAGAGTAAAAGGTAGGGAACCAGTTCCACTTCAAAATCATCATTAATATGTAAAGGCTATATTAATATCTACAAGTAACTATGAATCTTGTAATTAGTCTAAAGTATAGATTGGAACCAAATTATGCAACTAACGTTTAAGATAAATGTTTCCAAACGTAGCTTCAAAGAAGCTAACACATATATATATATAGTATTTTCCACCAGGGGAAAAAAAAAGCACACACATAACACTGAAGCATATATATATATGTTGAAACTCCATAAGGCAAAATAATCAAGTACAGACTAATTACATACCTGTGTACTATATGTGCTTTGCCATATATCCACATATACATTACTTAAAGCATGCTTTTTACTCTATAGGAGCTCTTATCTTTAATTAAACATTTTGACTCTATAAAACACCCATAAATATATACATTTCTATTTGTGTATGTATGTAAAAGCACTCAACTTTGGAGCTGTTGTAGCCTTTTAAGAAAAAAACCCGTAATGCTTCAAAAACTACAGGTAGTCTGACTTCTTAACATGCTTTTGGTTTGAAATAGTAAATTTGGAAGCATAATATACTGCAGACTAGCTTCTGGGCACTTCCATCATTTTAAAATTGCACTGTCAATATTCTAGATTTGGGCAAGGTTACAAGCAAACACCTTTCTATAGAAAGAGCCAAATTCTCTGAACACTACAGAACCTGAATTTAAAATAAGTTCTAGAGGAAATGAAGTAAAATTATATCTTTGTAACTATAAAGTTTTCACTGATTTCATTTGTATCAAGATTTCGTCCTTAGATTCTGTAGGTTAAGCTTAGGCATGGGTTGTAATTCTGAGAACTAACTTATAACCAAAGACTAATCTGTAATAAGGAATGCCTTTTAAGCACAAAATATTACTATGATACTTCTGCTCTTTCAATAATTCTACAAACTGTCTGACAGCTGAGTTTTTTGAAATGCAGATTTCTATCTCCTGGAAAGATCTAAGGGTTTTGGTCAAAGGTCATCACAGTAATGAAATAAATTAATAGGTAACAGGTAGTTCTGTGCCCAATGGCATAGCAGTACTATGTCTAAACCCTGTGTAATTCTGATGTTAAAAACCCATATTCTTGATTAATTTGGCCTTCTTTGCTCATGTGACATACATTGTATGCCATGAGACGCTAGCTAGTTTAATCTAAAAAAGCAAATAAATACACACTTTGCATGCAGAAAATGCGTTTCCATGTGGAAAGAGAGGAAGGGAATGAAATGGAATGAAATACCCAGAGGAGTATGCTTATTATAAACCTGATTATTCCCCGCCAAGAAGAACGGTTCTCCTGGGTTAATTACTCCTTGATATATCACTGCAGAATTAGAATATTTACAGTGGTATTTATTCGCATTTGAAATTTTTCCCAGTTGATTTTTACACCTTTTTAAAACATATTTCTCATACAGCATATTTTCTACCATCAGCCTATTAGAATGACCATCAACCTTCATTTTGCTCATAAGAGAAACATTTTTTAAACCCGTTTGTTTCATGATAAAAGAAGTATGGTGCTCTCTCTGAACCTTTTCATTGACCTCAGTGAAGCTGACAAGGAATCAGTTCCTCACTGCTTGCAGTAGAAGATTTACAGCCATATTTCACAATCCATCTCAACAAATTTAAAAGATATATACAATATTTTCTGTAGTAAGATGAATACAAAATATTTATAATCAGGCTCTGTGTATGCTTCATCTTCCAAGATATGTGAGGTAGAGTTATTATTTTCTGTAAGATCTATTATTTGACTTCTTACAGCCCACGTATATTTTCAATAAGAGCCATTGTATATGCAATTGTATGGAGCAGCTTATAGAACTGCCACCTTTAGGTTCACTCAGCAAAACTTAAAACAGAAAAACAAAGTACTGCCTGTCTGAAATAACATCAGTAAAAGCAAAACCTTTTTTGAGGACAAAATGAAATTTTATAGTCTTTACTATTGTGCTCATAATTATCACTACTTACTTCAGGAAGTAAGTATTAAATGTAGTAACAACGAGGGGCTTTAATTTTACACCTAAAATAACGTATGCAAATAGCTCAAAAAGTAGAAAATTGTAGCATACTGACAGTATTCATAGCCATAGTATTCATAGCTACATGGTTGTTTTAATACTGTGCAAAATCAGAAATACTAGACTGTTCTGTGAGTAGTTCTATGACATTCCTAGGATTGAGCATATATATATATACGCATATATATAAATTTTAGATCTCCAGTACCTCAGAAATAATAGAGGGGTAAAAGAAATTCTAGCCAACGTAACTAAAAGACACTACAATATATACTGTTGCATGACATAAAGCTCTTTAACATGGCTTACTATCCAAAGACCTGTAATTAATAGGGTGATTTAATATTTAGAGATCTGTATTAATAACACTGTAGCTAGTACGTTCACCAGATAAGTAGCATAGCCTTGAGCCTGTTGTTCTTATTCAGGCAACATTCAACTATATCTCAGAATTTGATGAATCCACACCTTGATTGTTACTTGCTGGAATAAAGCTGAACCACGTCAAAGTTATATATGTGCTATAAACACATACACAAACACACTGCAATCCGTTTCCAGTGAGTCAGAAATCCATAAGTCTTTACTCTGTGTCAGTGTGATGAGCAGTCATCTGAGGAGCCCTCCTAAATGAACAAACAGGCTGGCAAATTTAAGAAAATGGTAATTCTACACTTAAGTCAATAGAATAGTGAAATAAGATGTAATTATGTTTTTATGCTCTGGCTGTTTAATACTCATTTGCATTTGTCTGTATCATATAGCAAACCCTGAGCCTACCCTGGTTTGCCAAGCTACAGCTGCTGTATTCACTTAATCCTATTCCCTTTGAATTCATCAGTTGAACTGCCAGTCACGTTAAGAGTGTCAGCACTGAACCCTTACAACAGCTGTCCTGTGTCTAAGCCTTACAAATAACTGGTCTAAGCAGTCTTCAAAAAGGAGCCTAAAATAACAGCTAAACTAACCAGGACGGAGAGAGGTATCTCTGAAAGGGTGACGACTCACAGCCCAAACCCCTGAGAGAGAACCACAATACCAGGCTTGGTGGGATGGGGTAGGACTGCACCAGGTGATGGTACATAAGAAATCAGATTCATAAACCAACCATTAACTAGGGGAGGTGGGATTTAGGTTAATGAAGCAGTCTAACACATAGCCTAGGTGGGATTCTAACAGCCTGCATTTTTCAGGACTTCCTCCAGATGGGATGCAAAACAAAAGCACTGCTCTGAGCAAAATGTCTATGACATAGTATTTGGTTTTTTTTCCAGTTGATTTCTTAAAGTAAGTATTATGTTCTTTGAGAAGAAAGAGGCTTTTTGAGTCTATAAATGTCTATGTTACAAGCAGTCAGTGGGTGTGAGAGGTTTTACTTAAAAGTGAGGAAGGATGAGCTAAATCTTATCAGAAGGAAGTCATTCTTACAGCCTCGTTCTCACTGTAGCAAAGATATGCTCAACTGCAACCCCAAGGTGCCAGAGGAATTGAGATTGTAGGACATGATGCAACCAGCTGATAGGATGATTAATACAGCCTTCAGGACATGGTGTAAAGCCATTGATCCAAGGTTTCGTGTGGGATGAATGATCAGGGGTATACTTGAACTCACTGAGGTACTAGCATAAGTCAACAATATTAAGAACTAAATCAGCCTCTCAGACTCACAGATCTGGAAGCAATCTGGAGATGTCATTTAGTGCATATCATAACCCTAACAAACCGTACTGCTGTCATTCTTCTAAACTGTTTTTAAACCCTTTTGGTACCAAAAGCTCTGCAGCAACCTCTGCAGGAAATCTGCTCTAGTGCTTCACTCTGCTGACTGTTGTCTGCATGAAATGTTTGCTGATGTGTTGCCAGACATAACTTTTTTGTTTTAATCTTTAATGCAGCCATCATGGAAAGAATCAGCTGTGAACTGAGTGTGGCAGCCTGTGAACACAGTGCATTATTTACTCTCTATTTCAAAACACTTCTCAGAAAACTGGACCTATGAAAGTTAAATAAACATTTGTGAGCAAAAATCATTGAGCACATAATCTCAGTTGTACACTTTACTGAACAGAACTGTAGCTTTTTTTTCCCTATATATATTGATTCTGATTGACTAGAAAAGGATCTAAGCATTCCCAAACTATTTCAGATACCAATCCATAAATGTCTATAACTTAAGATTTCCCACCAGCAGTGGTCAAAGGCAACAAAATCTCTCCACGCTTCTTTCTTAAAACTCTAATATAGAGCAGCTTCCACTGCTGGTGAACAATTTATTGGAAATTGTTGCATATTGGAAGACAGCCTGAATGATGACATCGTGTTTGTATATTATGCTTCAAAACCAGTCCTGATATTCAGTGAAAAAAGTTCCAATATCAACAGAGCATCTGTATTTCACAACAGCTGGAAAAAGAATTACTGAAGAATAAAATGTAATCCATGACAACATTTGGAGTTTGAATTTCTTAAAATTGAGAGATATAAGTTAAATTATTTCTTATCTTAAAAATATTTCACATTACTCTGCACATTACATAAAAAAAAAATTCTTTGTAAAACAGAGGACAGAAATAAACAGCTTCTTGTACTTAAAATGTAGTATTTGGTTGTACTACAAGCGAAGTGCTGAAGATCAAAAGATACAACTGAGTGTAAATGCACATAAGAAAATTTAGGGCTTGAGGACTTAGGGAGTTAAATGAAATAGCAAACTAACTTGGCCTTTGAGTATAAAAAAAGATGAAGCAACCTTCTCACATGATGAGGTCTTCTGTTATGCTGTGAAATAGAAAGTTTGCTTGTGATTAAGGAAAACAATTACATATTCAGGATGAGGATATCACCTTTTAAACACAGTATCTTAAAAATAAATAATGAAAATTAAGAAACATATTATGCATATTTTCCTTTTACATCAGTTAAAAGTTCGACTTCATAAACAAAGCATTTATTGTAGTGGCTTTCTGCTAGCAGATTTGAGCTGTGGGACAAGATACATCAAAAAACACAGAAAATGGAAATTGAAATCCAAAATAAACAGTACAATCCATAGGGGTATTAACTATTATGACTTTCATTATAGACTATCATGATGGCAATAGTATAATTAGGGCCATATTCAGCTAGTTTAAATTCCCAAGTTAGACCCTTCTTGTCAGCTGGCTTTAGGCAGTTTTCCTTACTTATAACTTCACACTATTTTTTTTTCCAGAAATGCTTAGCTTATTCTGCAGTTGAAACTAAAGCCTTTGCTGAGAGTTAGTCCAGCTAAATATGACCCATTTTTTCCTAGGAAGTAGAAATATATGGTACTGAGATTATTCATTAGTAGTCCAATCCAAATCCTATTGCCATTCATGATATCCCAGTCAATGCTAAACTATCTGGAACTCATAAAATCTATCTGTTAATAAAAATAAAGGTATGTCTTCAGTTGTAGAAGGCTAACTTATTTTGCAAAATCCATAGTTTTGAATACTTTGTTCTTAAAGCAAGTGCAGCAATTATAGCAGCTAGCTTGTGCCTTTGAGAACAGCAGTGGGTTTTACTACATGATTTTGCTAGCCAAGTTCCTTGGAAGCAAATGTTTGGATTGTTCAATAAGTAATTTCAAAGTAGAGAATGTCTGCCCTGAGCTAATCTTTCTTCCTTCTCTCCTTTTCCCCTTGCCATTTCCTTCAGAGATCTGTCTGTTATCCAAGATGTTTTTCTTAATGTTTTCCTGAAGAACCTTATGGCTGAGTCATATTAGAGGTTCTCAGGTAAGTGGCGTAGCTCTGAGAGTGACCATTTTGTCACTTGTGAAAAAGTCCTTGCAGTCACTGAAGATGTGAATTAGCATAGGGGGAAGGAGGAGAAAGATCATATAGCACAAGCACGGCATGTTGGTCTTCCGAAAGAGAACAGAACAACCAATATAGTTTGTTTTGTCCTAACCATGTTATTATTTTCGACCAGGAAAGTTAAAACAGTTGTTTGAAATCCCTTTTGCATTTGTCTTGCATACATTCCACTCCTATGTAAATAGTGTTCAGACATTCAGACAAAGAGGGCATTTGCAATGTTTTAAACCCCTTACCTTTTACTTCCAGTTTGCAATCAACTTCTGCTTCTCCAAGTGTATTGACTGCTCGGCAGGTGTAGGTACCTCCGTCATAGGGACTGGGTTTGCGGATCTCCAAGGTACAGACACCTTGGTTGCTGAACATTCGGTACCTTGGGTCATTCATTATAATGACTTTGTTTTTCAGCCAGGTTATTTTGGGCTGTGGTAAAAACACAAGAAAGCCCACATGCACAAACTTATGAACTGGAATATTTAACCTCTTTTTGTGAAGTTCATTTAGAGTTGAGTAATTCAGAAAGGATAAAAAAACAGATGAAAGTAGTGATAGAAAAGAAACTGTAATTCTTAACATGGGCTGCATCATGCATCTGTTTTTAAGCATGCTTTTTCAAGTGTAGCTCCCATTCCATAAAGTCATAAATGTAAGCCTGTTATCAGTATAAGAGGTGCTGTGCAGTGGTAGCAAACATCTGAGCAATAGCTTTTTGCCTCCAATTACTCTTAGTCAATAAGAAAAACATTTTTTTTTTTCACAGTAATTTTCACTCAGAAACTGTGAAGGTAAAGAGTGAGCAGTAAATGTTCTTAAACACCCTTGAGTGTTCATTTTACTAGGTCAGTTCAGTTTCTCACAACAGAAAATAGATAACAAAAAGACACAACTCAGAAGAATATGAAAGATACATTGAGCAGTGCATCTGAGAGCCAGCACAGTCCCCAGAGTATTCTTGCAATGTGCTTACTTAATTAGCTTTTTATAGAATAATTATGGCTTTATTTTGGTAACAACCTTTACTGATACATTAACTGTACATCTGTTGTCGGTGCTGGTCCCAGTATAGCCCAGCCTTTTGCTGAGGTTCTACATTTTCACTGAATTATCTGTGGATTTAGTAACTCTTATAATGCCTGTAACACAGGGAAGTAGAACCTTTTTTGTATTCTTTAGAGCCCACACCACTCTTTTTGTCTTCAGCCTGGCTTTTGAGTGAGACAAATAGTAAAAATGGTGTTACAGGATTTATTATCAAGTTAAACTCTCTCATGTTTTAAGTGATACTGTTAGGAGTGATGCTGTACCTTGGGGTTGCCCCGAACACTGCAGTTCAAAGTAGCATTGTAGCCAGCTACAGCAAATGTGTTGACTAGAGGCTGAGTAAACATCGGTCGTTCAGTGAAGTCAAAATCATCGTAAACTGGGTATTTGTAGACTTTACCTATGAAATGAAAATAAAACATTTATAAAAAGAGTGTCACCATGTAGCTAAATACCCATCCATGTTAAACAGCTGCAGAGTCAATTCTGATCTGCACTGCTTTAGGTACTGACGTGATTCTGGTAATTGCACTTGTAGGGAGGCTGGAAGTAGGCCTGTGAAGTGACTACAGCCCTTGGTTATGCTGTAGTATAGATGTCTGAGAGCTTCTCTTTTGTTTCCTGAGTAGGTGGTACATAAAATAATGCATATTTATTCTGTGTATTTGCCTGTGTGCCCTGCATGTTACAAAACAGGATGGATCCTGACTGACATACTGCAGGATGCCTGTCTTGTCAAGCCTTGTTCACTCTATTGCCAATTTTCACAGTTTGCTCTGATTACAAACTAGCACTGTATCTTAAAATCCATTTTCTTTCTGCTTCATACAGGGCAGTAACAATACAGATACCTGAATGGATGTAGTTTTTGTACAAGGAAGACATGGTAGTAAAATCTAGTTTCTTGCTGCCACTTTATCCCTGCTCTGCAATTGAGGTTATCATCAATAAATCACTTTCACCCACAAACGAAGCTGACATTTAAAACAGCTGGACAGACTGTGATCTATTCCTGTGCATAGGTACTGTTAAACCTGATCCAAGCTCTCATACTGACTTCAGTGCAGCTTAGGGTGGGTTGTACAAGTTGTCTGTCTTCTGCATCGTGGCAGTCACGTGTTCTTTCCTTTCAGACAAATTCAGGTGATCTGGTTTGATTTTCTTCCTTTAAACCACCTGTTTGTAGAATTTCCCTTCCATAAAGGGGCAGCTATTTTCTGGTTTATTTATTTAAAGTTTACAGTACCATATCAAACTGACAGTTTCTGAAATGTCAGGATTTCTGACAGCAGACTCAGAACCTCTCCAGCTCCACCTGCAAGAGATGTGAAGCAGGGGTTATGCTTATCTGTTGGATCCTGCCTGAAATGGACAGGAGCACTTGCAATGGCTGATGCCAAGTCTTCACTGGGAGGCAGTGACACTCCAGTTCTAACAGAACAGCTGCTTTACTCCTCTTCCAGCTCTTATTGACTTAGATCTGCCAGAAGTGATGCAAGTCTGAGATCCAGGATTATAGGAAATGTCAGAACATGGGAAAAATGTCCCACTCTTGATTAAAAGAAACTCCAAGTATGAGCTATGTGACAAAGCAAGAAGTCCTAATATGAAATGCCAGACTGTTACTTGTACGTGGGCTTAGGGCTAGGAATGCATTGGAATGATTTAGGGACATGAGCTTTACCTCTAATCACTTTCCAGCCTCTAAACACACCCCTTCCCTTTTGACAAGGAATGGATAATTAGCTAACCATCCTTTGCAATCAAAGCGCTCTCTTTGGTCATTGTTGCATCCTCACTGAGGCCGCACATGTTCTCAGCGAAGACGCGGAAGTAATACTCATTTCCTATGATGAGCTCATTAATGGTGGCACTGGTGCGGTGGTAGTGCTCCATTACCGTGAACCATTCCTGAAGGATACAAAACCAGAGAGTAAGCTTTCCCCACTGCCGTGTATCTCTAAGCCATTAACTGCTGTCTGGTAGAATCACTGAGTAAGATTTTTCTTTGGGAATGTTAATGAATACTAGAATAGTGCAGCTAACAATAATTAATGAAATGAGTGATAATGACAATATAACATTCACTGCTGAGCAGTGAAGGCTGAATGGAAAGTACTATCTACTGAACTGTTGCATGCTGTTAGCTGGGAGGGCTTGTTTTAGGAAATCCAGTAATACAAAGGTTGTACTACATGAAACAAGGCAGGCTCCTTCATTCTTCATAGTCTGTGCTGCTGGCAGAAGGTACAGCTGCAGACAAGAAAACTGCAGGCTGGAGCAGAAAAGTAGCAGCATGTACTTGTCTGCTGTAACATGTACTCACAAGAGACCAATGCATCAATGTGCCCCCTGTTCCACAGGTTGCATATTCGTGAGAAATGTAATTTTATGCATGTGGTCCTCTGATATCTAAAGGCTCAGATGGGGAGGTAGGTTTTAGCGCTTTAGTCTTGCAGCAGTAAACAGGACATGTGAATTCTATGCTAGTACACAATACCTAAATAACAAAGAGAGATGAAAGAAGTTAATGCTAAAAATGGAATTCATATAAAGTGCAATATGACCACAGCAGTGTTTTTTGCTTTTCTTTACTACGTCCAATACAGTTTTCTTGCTTCCCTAAAGATGAACCTGTGCTGAGTTCCCCATGCCACAGTTTGCATTGATATTTGGTCATCTTTAAGAGCCAAAGTGCCCTTTGGGAAAACAGTTTTCTGTAGAAGACCAACTGCACCAGAATTGCAAAATTCACCACCACAAAGAATGTGGAGAAACTATGACCAGAATGATCCATGACACACTGAACCCTTGACACTGCTGTTGCGGCTTTCTCCTTAACACAGTAATTTAGACAAGGGACGTCATTGTTCTGGACACTGTACAGGGAACATGTCTTCTTACAGTCTGAAGAGAAAGAAAAAATGAAGGGTGGGAAGGGAGATAGTGGCATAAGAAGAATAAATTGATCAGACCATGAAGCAGATCAATGTATTAAAGGGATGGGCCTATGGCAAAAAGATTCCTTTAGGTAAGGCAGCTTCCAAAACATTGTCCTAAATATCCCGTGTTTAAATTTGCAGTAAGTATCAAATGTAGGAATCTAGCTAGTGTGTTAAGGAACTGTAAAGCTAAGGTTAGTTTAATGAAAATAATGAACTTCTCTATATTGCACTTTTCATCTGTAAATTTCAAAGCAGTTTATGAATTTTATATATATCATTTTGCTATGGGTAGTAAGGAGTGGCAATGAGTTACACAATGTGACATTACAAGTTTAAAAAAAAACCAGAACTATGTTTTGATTCTAGTAGCAGCCTATTGATTTCAGAATTATTATTTTGGGCTTTCATTTTCTCTGCTGAGAAAAAGGAAAAAAGAAAAAACAAACCAGAATTACTTCCCTCGAATCCACCTCTTCTTTCCTTTTTAATCCTCCTTTTTGGCATCACCTGAAAACTCCCATTTCTAGGGTTTAGGTACAGTGAACAAGAGTGTCTTAGGATTTTTAGAGATGCCTTGCAGATTTTCTGAACATTGACTAATCAATGCTTTGTCCACCTACATCATTTTACGCATGCAAGGGTTTTATTTTTAAAAGGGAGAATTTATGAGTGCATCAGCCTTTTAAACAACTCCTTATTACTTACCATACTCTTCTTATCTGCTTTTTGAATAGTGTAGCCAGTAATGGCAGCATTGCCATCATCTTTTGGTGGCTTCCATGACAAATTTACGTTCTCTCCCCAGACATCATCAATAGTTACAATCTCTGGTGGGCCTGGCCGATCTGTAAGGAAAATGTAGCAGCTGACATTTCCCACTCTTTGCTTTCCCTATGTGTCTCTTTCCTACATGTCTTCCACTTAGTTTGATTTCTCTGTCTCTTAAAACACAGATATGCCAAAAACAATGTCAAAAGAAAGCTGAGGCTGCAAAAGAAAACTTTTCAAAGGTAAGATATGTCAAGATAATGGAAAACTTAGCTTGACCACTTGGAGAGCACAGTTTATAATGGGCATATGCTCTTTTATTGTGTAGGAACATGATATTTTGGAAAAATTAAAACCAGTGGAAGACGTATTCATAAAAGGCAAAGCTGGACAATTATTATAAAGGCTGTGCTACCAGTTTTGCCTATTATGTAAGGAAATAGATTGGTAAAAATGGAAAGTAGATATGTTTTCTTGTCTGTATTTCCTACTTCCATGTACTTCCAACACTTAGGATTTCTTCCACGTTACATGTATGGCAAAGTTACTCTGAACATACTACCATTTCTGTGTATGGATACCATGCAGTGGGAAAAATCCTGCATCCTGAATAGACAAGAGCATGAAAAGCGTAACAGTGGGGAAAAAAGAGACTGACATATTCCAACAAACACCAGCCATTGCGTAGGGAGGTTTAGTTAGAGACCACGAACCAATATCCAAATAATTGGACTTGGAGAGTTATCACTGTAAAGAAAGATGTTCTTTGGGATTCCTCTGTTTTCCTATAGCCTTGGAATGGCTGGAGTCTGCTTCTCTGGCATGCACTTATTTCTGTTTCTCAAAACTTACCAACTATCTGAATATCTATTGTAGCTTTGTCCACCAAATTCTCTACTTCCACTTTCATGTCATATTCTCCAGAGTGGCACCTTTCTGCCTTTCGGATAAAGATGATGGTGTCGTTTTCAGTGTTGCGGATGTTGATTTGGTTCTTATCGATTGGAGAACCATTTTTCTCCCATGATACTTTTGCCCTTGGTCTTCCCTGTAAGAAGCCAGGAAAAAAATTGTATACGATTTTGGGAGAGAAAAGGGGGTGGAGAAAAAATTGATTTATTTCCCATTTTTTCCACACAGGAAATAAAAAACATCCTGAAAGAAACAGAGAATTCTTTTTTAAATCGTGTGACATTTGAGTTGCAATTATATTAATTCACCTAAAATTCAGCTTTCTTTCCTTTCTGTTTTTTCCCTTCAGGAGACTGAAAATATTTTCATATTATGGCTAAATTGGACAACCAACTTTATGGATAAATTTGACAATGAATTTCCAATTTTCTAAAAGAAAAAGGAGAAAAATGCAGAAAGTGCAAACCAAAGCATTTTACTCTCTGGAAGAGCCTACGTTCTCTACACTGCCAGTGAAAGATAAAAGAAGTGGGCCAAATGTCTAGGCATCCCAAAGTCTTTTCTTTCATTGCAAAGAGCAGTTGGAATAGTTGTTAGGTAGGCTGGATTGACATCTCTTGTGTGACATTTTTGTGGGCCTAGTCATGCCCAATTTAGATACTTACATCAGAGTGAATTCCACCTGCTTTACTGTGGAATTTGCCTTCCAGAGGCAAACAATTTTTGCCTCCAGAAAGGGTAATCCCACACCTTTTTGAATGCCTTATCTTAGAGAATAACCATACAACATTCCTTTAATTTCTCAAGAGCAGTGTATCTTGCAGTGCATTGCTGATCAAGCTTTTATTAGGCTTTTAACAGCCTTGTAGAAGCCAGATTATGCTCAACCGGTATCTTTAGGTGTGCACACATGCAATAGAAATGAATTCTGTAATTCTTGTACTCACAAGAATAAGGACCCTGCAGGTAGATAGGCTGTCACTGTTGTAAAACATATGGGGATGAAGGTGAACACAATGCTATGGAAAAATGTGCTATATCCTTAGAAATAGTAATATTATAGCTGTGTTTTCAAGAATTTGAAAGTTGCAGTTTCTGTAGGAGACAATGAAACTCCTCCTTTTACCTCGCTCATGACCAGAAAATGATTAAATACTATGGTCCCGCTCTTGATGTCGTATCTAACTACTGCCAGGGTAACCATTTTGCAATGTACTTGCAATTAGCTTACATGTAATATCTGCTGTGAGTGTCCTTTGGATGACAGGTGACAAATCAGTCTGTCTAAGCTAGTTACCAGATTAATTAATAGATTTAACATAATTTCTTTGGGATGTCAGCATAAAAGCTTTCAAGCACCTGTGTACTTCAGTGTGCTTCCACATCTGCAGACCTTAATTCACTGTCCTATCAAAGTTAACTTAAAATCTATTGAAAAGCAGCAGTAAAAGAAAAAGAGTATTTTCTCACCAGTGTTTTGAGTTCTTACCTGGAAAGGAATAACAAGATTCACAGTTTCTCCAACTCTTCGAGTATAGGTTTGCTTTAAGTGTCTTGGTAGACGAATCTTTGGAGGTTCTGAAAAAAGCCAAGAGCTTGTGATTGACATTTATCTTTTGCTCTAACTGGTGGCCATCAGTACAAATAGAAGAGTCTGTGGCCTGCAACTCCCAGAAGAGACCACTGAGTAAGGTATCTTAGATCTCTTGGTCCCACAATGTTACACACTGTCGGGTTTTGTAACAACAAATACCATGGTGGTCAGAATAGGTGAGAAGCTTAGCACAACTTAAAAAAAACCAGCATCAAGTTCAAGTTTTGCAGGAAAAAAACAAACAAACAAAAAAAAAAAGCCTTGGAAGCCTGAGCAATAAAATCTTAGAAATAAACAGACAGAACTATGATTTTCTTTAAAGATGATTTCATGATTTCTAGCCCGCACACGGTGGCTCTGTAAAGCCATATCACCCGTTTCCAGTAAGTATTAGCCTTAAAAAGACAGAGCTAAGTATGGAAGCAGAGTGTATTTGTGGATGAGCGTAGGCAGGAGGATCTTACCTATCACTTCCTTGACTAAAATAGGCTGTGGGTGGTACCTAGGCTCACTTTCACCAGCAGCATTCACAGCTTTTACTCTCACAAGGATTTTTGAGCCAGTTGGCAGGCCATTGATAGTAAATTTCGTTTTGTCTGTCAGCTCCGGGTTAGCCACGATCCATTCATCAGCTAGTTTAGGGAAAAGAGGACGGGAGGACGAATCGAAAGAATAGGGAATTATAAATGCATCCATTGCACAGATGAGGAAAATTAGAGAACAGTAACATATACATATAAATGTATATATTTTATTATGCTATTGTATTTTAAATTATATATATTCATTATATTCTAATGAATACTCCTACTTTATGTTTATTATTATGCTATAACATGATATTGATGCACTTTCATATGTAGGAAGAATGTTTCAAACCTTAAAGGGTTTCTGCTGATTATATATTTAGATAAATAAATATTTTTAGAATGTGTCTATCAATTAATTATACCAGAGAGAAAACTGATTATTTTTTAAATTCAGCTGATAGAAACAAGGGGGACATGAGTATATTTCCAAAAGCACTCATCATTCCTGTAACAGTTTCCTCGGAGAGAAATGAGTTCCACAGTTAATTTCAATCAGTACTGAATACCCTTGAAAGTACTACTGAGAGTCCAGAGATGAGAGAAGCACAGAATATTTACAAATTGCAATGAAATGTCATCTGCCCTCATTTAAAGGCATTTAAAATGCATTTAAATAATGAGTGCTCTGTCCGAATTATTCACTTTATCACAGCATTCTTGGATTGTTTTTATCCTGCCCGCAGGCAGATCACATAGAGTGATCACAGCAGTTCAGTCTTTCAGAAAAGCTCCAGTTACAAGCAATATTTTCTTTTCCAACCTGTCCTCCAAACATAGATTGCTTTATCACTGCAGGTACCTTGACATTTGGAGTCAGTAGCAAGTCAGTATCAATACACAACAATTATGTAAAGACAGCATTATAAAATTGGCACAGAAGACAAGAGAACTATTATAAACTAGAGAGCCCCGCAGACTTAGAGCACAATACTGGGGTACATTTTCTTAACTCTATGTCTTACTTTTAGGAATTAAGTTCTCCTTTAAGCTGTTTCTTTCAGCTTCTAACAGAAGAGGATTGGAATCAATGTCTGTTTCCTAAGCACCTCACCCTCCCCCCTTGCAGCATGGACAGTAGCTAATTCGTTATAAGCTGTTGCCCCAGGTATTCCCTCTCAGAAATTTAACTTTACTTCTATGAAGAGATTTTTTTTCTTTCATTAAAGAAGACTTATATCCTTTGTTGAATACTTTACCTTCCACGTTAAAAGGTGGCTCCAACAATTCCTCAGACAGATCTGTCGATATACCTTGTGAGAATCCATCTTTAAAATTAATCAGAGACACCCACTTTCACACAGATGGAGCATTTTGTCAGTGGTTAGCAATTCCTGTTAGTAAGTATGCAAAGATAGATGCTGGGCTTTTAAGATATAGAGGTCCTGTATTTAGGGAGACTGCAGGGAGGAAAGAGATGGGAGGAAGGCATCTAGATCAAAGAACAGTTATGAGGGATGCTCACAGGAAAGCTAAAGCAAAAAGGAAAAGGAGGAGATAAAGTTGTTTGTGTTGAGTTTTTTTCCTTCGGGCCTGATCACAGCCCTGGAAAGATGAAAAGGAGAAGACAAAAGGAACACTTGGAAGAGAGAAATGAAACAAAATGATGATGGGACAAAAGGTACAAGGAGAAGAGAACACATCATAGAAGAGCGAAGAAATTCAGAGAAGAGTTCTGAGTAAGAGAGATAGAAAGAAGGGAAGTCTTGGAAAAAACCTTGGGGAAACAGAGGAAGAGAACACATTTAACTAAGGCAACATAGAAAGAAAAGTAAAGAAGGCTAAAACCATGGATGATGACAGATACGATATAACCAGTAAGGCTTTATTTCCTGGACAAAGCTCTTACTGTCCTGGATTTTCTGGAATCTTGCCCTTAACTGTTTTCAGGATAATAAAAATACTATTCTAGTATCTATACATAGATGGTCCTGGATGGGAACACTGGCAAAGATCTCAGCCAACTGTCTCCCAATGCTTATTTACTAGCTAGGAAAACAGATCATCTGCAGATACAATGGCCCTTTAAAGGCAGATAAACACAGTGTCTTAGGGAAAACTGTGGCCAAGCTCCTCAGGCTACCTTTGAAACTTCACACAAGAACCAATTGAAAACATACTTTACTTGGAACTGACTTCTCCAGTGTCAACAAGATTTGGTCTACTACACATCACCACAGGAAGAGGTTCAAGTCAAATGTTGTAAACTAGCTGGGAGTTCTCTGGTCGCATTATTCACACCTATACAATGCAAAATCCAGACGCTCATGATGAAACTCCAGTTCAGTAATACACACAGAGCTGTTAAAGGTCCTACCATAGCTAAGGAAGTCCAAGAGTACACCATGTTGATCAAGTTATGAGGTTCAGACTAAAGGGAAACACCAATTTTTGTGAAGCCAAACCAATGGTCATGGTACACGATTCTTCGAAATTATAGTTATATATATATTTATATATAGTCTTCCTATTTTCATCTTGTGATTTCTCCTAATGATTGCTATGATAAGGAAGCCTCAAAAAAGGCTTCTTTAAAACTACTCCAGTGACAATGATAAAGGAATGGAGAAGGTAAAACCAAATGAGTTTACAAACAGATAACTAAAAGAAAAGAACAACAGAATGAATATAGACAGCCATTAAAAGTACCTTGAAATTAAGGAGAGTTATGAAAAATTATAGAATAAATTAGTTTGAGGCAGAACAGGCACTGAAAGGACTGAGAAAAGGAGGCACTATGATATCGCAAGAAATAAAAACAGGACTGAACACAAAGAAAAGGATGTATATTCCAATAAAGCATCTTAATTGGTATTTTCTACTAAGATTGCTTCTTCCTAACCATTTTCATAACATATATACATAAATAGTGTCAATTTTGTATATATAGATGTATATGCATATATAGGAGGCATATATAGATATACATAAACACTCAGAAAGCTATGTAAAATACATTGTACCCATTGTATTTTAACTGAGGTGGGTAACAATAAAATGACAGACTTCACTGCCATTTTGTTGTATCTTCATAGGTTTAAAACCTATCTGAAAAAAAAGAAGAGAGTAAAGAATTTGTTCCATTCAAAAAGTATACAATCATCTTCTGAGTAACAGTCTTTAAAGGACAAAGTTGGAAGATTCCTCTAAAACCCTAGTTTTCACTAGTGTATATATATAGCACTTTTAGCTTTTCCCCCACTATCCTACCCGTGCTAAACAGAGCATAACATACAGCATACACCGAGGTCCTCACATTGACATCCCCCTTTATATTCCCATACATCTTGCCTGTCCAATGGAGACATTATTGGAATGCTGCATCTTGATGTAAGACTGCATGCTTACTCATTCTGAGCTGTTCCCACAGCTCCCTCCCAGTATACAAGGAAAACCTTTCCTACCATTCCAGCTGTTGTCTGCCTTCAGGTAATCTTCTCCAGACCTCTGAGCTTCTTGCAGTCTGTTCCTGCTCCTTACGGATATTCAGCTCAATACTACAAGATGCTGAGTGCTCCTGAGAAAAGCCAGTGGTTCTTCTTCACCCCCTCTCCCACTCATCTGAGAGAGGCAAGGGAACTCTGCTCCTGTCGGGTCTGACCACTTTTGTGAACTACTGTTTTCCTGGATTGTCTGAACTTAAAACACGTCACAGTGTGAACGACAAGTTCTGCCATCTACCTCTTGTCTCCAGGCTGCGGACTGCAGTCATGAAAAGATTTTGTTGAAATAAATGCCTTTATGAAGAAAGGTGTCCAACACATCACTTGATTTACAGTGCAGTTAAGAGGAACAGCGAGCAGAGCTGAAGATAACTATGTTGCTTTCATCCAAATACAACAATGCTGGAGTCCCACTGATGAGCGTTTGCCTGCAGATACTGGGTATTGTGCATACCACTTCAAGCTCTTTGATACTTACCCAGGTGTTGATGGGTTTTAATTTTTGTAAATAGGCTTCGTTTGATGCCAGTTTAGAAGAAAATCTGCTGGAAAACACTGAGTTTCTGCTGCTTGACCACCAATGACTTTTAGTTGTAAGATATAAATTATATTTCCCTATATTCCTTGTGTAAGGTTTCCCTATTCCTTCATAAGTTTATTCTCTTACATCTCTCTTATGTCTTTCTCTTACTCCTTCAGTTTTGTATAGATTTATGTCCTAGATGGACATAGTTAAAGATCTTGAAACTAACTACACTGAAACACTGGAGAAATTCAAAATCAATACATGAACTCTGCATGCCCAGGAAACTTCTACAGTCAGCTATTGGAGAGGCTCTCTGTCCTCAGTATTGGGAACTGGCACTTGAAGTAGCCAATTAGTAGTAGTCAGGATAGGGATTACAACACTGAGGATCGACTGTCCCTAAAACCCAGCCAAGCTGCACATATTTGGGACCACACATTTCCTATCCATTCATCCATCCACTCTTTACTGCATTGACTTCATTCAGGTCAAAAAAGAGGAAAGTTATTCATACAGTGCTTGGTAGACTACAATAGATTATATGGCTTTTGATTTGTATTTCAGATCAAATGTAAGATGTGTTGAACTGCAATCAGTGGGTGGGACCTGGAATACAAACCAAACAAAGCCTGTGAAACCCCTGCTCTTGAAGTTTTCTGACTGATTAGTTTCTGCCTTAAAGTGAAAGCATCTAATACCTGTAGAGAAAAAAATGGAGAAAGTCTCACCTACTTACACTGTGAGTAACATACCACAGTCATTGTCACTTACTTCCTTCAAAGCAGTACTCTACAACATAGCCGTCTAAACCTGCTGCTCCAATATGGTCTGGTGGCCTCCATTTCATTGTAACTGAGGTATCAGTCACTCCGTCCACTGCCAGGAGAGTTGGTGGGCTAGTAACAGCTGAAGCAAGCAGGCAGAGGGGAGAAGGCAGAAAAACGTGTTACAGTTAAGTTTATGCTTATGGTGTGTATTCCTCTAATTAAGCATCATAGGTGACAGGCTATATCCTGCCTAAGAGGCATTTCCAGTCACGCCTGCCACATCTTTCCCAATTAGGACCAAACTAGAAGAAGCAGGTATCTCATCCCGTATCTTCTCACAGCCTGACCCAGAGTTAAATTCCTCCTGCTGAGGAATGAGAAGGACAGAGGGGTGGAAAGCAGAGCAGAGAAGTTGTGAGTAGTATATTCTACGAATGCAGGTGTCTTCTGGCAAGAGGAGAGCAAGTTCCATCTTCCTTCTCCTCTGCATTGTGGGGGTGCCACTGAGCAAAGTGGGAACCTTTGCTGGCCTACAGAACAAGACACCTTTCTTTTACAGGGGTTTGTGGTTATCACAATAGTTAGATAATGTTTCTTTATATGAAAAGGCCACCAAATCAGTCTGTCACTAGGTGAATGGCAAGGCCCTATAGCTGTTACATTAATATAAAGCAGTAAGATGACACGTAGAATAGTATAAAATATGATCTAGCCTAATCTGGATATAGAAAATATGTGATACCTTTTTGGGAAAAAAGCCTCTACTTCAACTAATGGATATCCATGAGGCAGAGAGAGAAATTAGGAGCTATTCAAATGTGTCTCATCATTTATTACAGTATTATGCAAATTCACTTACTTCTTCCATAGCTTTCTATCTTTATGACAGATTGCATGCATGTGGGGATTTTAATGGAAATATATGGATTATTTGTGAATGCTTGTATATTTTAAATGTCAAGCTATTATGTAACAGCAAAACAAGTACTGAAACATGAAAGAAGTCTCATTTTCATACAGAACAGCCTGCAAATAATGATCTTCAGACTTCTGGTCAGTTCTGATCATGTTTTGGCCAAAAGGCAGTGCCTGATGGAATTTGCAGAGGAGAAAGACACACAAAACAGCAAAGATTATAATCCATCATCCTTATCAATTCTCTGAACTGTCAGTTTGACTGGCAATAGCTTCATGCTATTCTCTCAAGAGGTACCTAAGATAGATGCACAAGAACATGGAACTATTAGTTCTGGTCCTTAAAACATATTGGCCATAGTATTGATCGTATCAGGCTCACCAACAGCAAGTCACTGTTTTATTTTAGTTCACCTTTTTTCTGTCTATACGTCTTTGTTTCTTGTTTATAAAAGAGTATAAATCCTTCAGGGATAGACATATAGTTTTGGCATCACCTGATAAAGACCTGAGCAACACAAGTGCAACAAGAACTACAGTTATATAATTAGATGACTGTAATAATGTATTAATGGTAACTTTCTAAATGCATGTTTATTTCTGTGTTTTTGATTACTTACCCAAAGGAACAAAGGACTTGGAAGGCATACTTGGTTTGGAAATGCCTATTGCATTAACAGCAAATACACGGACCTCATAAGCAACACCTTCAATCATCTTCTTTGGCTCAAAAGTTGTTTCTTTTATCAATTCAAAATTCAACCTCATCCACCTGGAGCTTTGTTTCTTTTTCCTTTCAATGAAATATCCTATTGACCAAACAAAATTTTATTATAGTGAGTGGTGGCATAAATCTCAGTAGTGAGTGGTCTATTTTCTGACTGCCCATTGCCATATTTTCAGGATAAACCTCAACATGCCCTTCTAGCTGTAGAATGGTTTATAGTTAAGTTTTACCCATTGCAAGCTGTCTGATACTCACCTGTTTGCTTGGCTTTCACAGACATGCATGAGTTTATTTTGGACTTCGCTTACAGCACCACTGTATGTAGCTCACAGGGAAAAGGGCCTGATTCTGCTGGCCTCAGGGTCCCTTTGACTTTCCTCTCAGTTCAGTGTATTAGCATATACTACAATTTACTCAGTAAATTGTTTCTGAAATTCCTGCTACCATTCAAACAGACTAACTGTTCAAAGTTTGGTAGTATAAAAGGTTGTCTTTCAACGAGTGGGATTGATAATGGGACAACATGCAAAATGACAAACCTCGAACCATTAGAAAAACAAGTATATGGTAAGTTGAAGATTGGGTAGAACATTCCTGCAACTGGATAATCAACCATTATCTGGGATATGTTTCTTTTGTCTATATTAAAACATCACCACAAAAAGAAGAAAAGTACGTACCTAAGATGGGTGATCCACCATCATTTGCTGGAGGTTCCCAGGTCATAACACACCAGTCTTCACCCACCTCAGTCACGTTTGGTGCCTGAGGAGGATCAGGTACATCTGTTGTACACAAAGTAAATATTAATTAATTAATGAAATATTTTTTCATTCTTTTGCATAGGTTGAATAAAAAATGAATATTTTTGAGGTGCAGCAGGAGTTCCAAATGAGGAGAGGAAGAAGGTCTTTGTGGATCCTGTCAGGTAGTTAGGAACAGATAAATGCAAAGCTCTTCAGCACACTCAGGACTCTCAAGAGGCACTTGAGGATGTGTGATAAGACAGAACCCACAGCCACATGAAGAATGGAGAGTGTTAAGGAGTGTTAAGGACATCCTGAGGCAGCTGCCCTTGCAACATGAGATGTCAGGGGGGTGATAATTAACTCCTGCTTAAATCCCATGCTAAGCTCCTGTGTCCTTCAGTAAAATATCCTTTCACCTCAATTTCACATCTGAAAATGGGGACAAACAGGGAAATTGAAGTTTCCTGAGAATCTACAACAATTTGGTTGCTAGGGAGGACAGCATTTACAGAATCCCCTTAAACAGAGGAAGAAGAATCTGTCTCTGATTGGGGTGCGGAAAAGTAGCATTCTCCAAGATGCGTATATTGAAAAGGGTTGTGATAAAAGACATGGCTCATGTGCACTATTTCACACGACTTACCAACCACTTTAATGTTGATTAGAGCTGTGTCTTCTCCAGCCTCATTTTTTAATGTTATTCTGAAAGGACCTGAATCTTCCCTCTCAGCTGCATCAATGACCAGACAGCTGCTGTCTGGGTATGTTTCTGCCCGTATTCTTCCACTGTCTGTGATCCCCTAGGAATCAAAAGAAGCAGAGGGAAAAAATTTATTTTCTGGGTTGAAGAATCAAAGCACTCAAACATCCAAATCCAAATGCAGCACAGGACACTTCATCAAAAAAGCTGAAACACCAGTAAGAAAAAACACTCTAAAAGCTCCAAATTTCAGCCACCTAATGATCACAAAAATGAAAATAATAACTGAGGGACAAATAAATAACTTTAAAATATGGTAACTGGGCAATATGTACAGTAGAGGTAGCCATTTGGTAAGTTTTCACTAGGTTTCACCTGCATCTCATACGTCCCTCTCCTTTACAATTTATTTATAGCAAACTCATATCTTTTCCTTCATTAATGTCAGCCTTTCCTCAAAAAGAGCCCCAAAATACTGAATATTTATCCATCTTACCCTTCGTTTTTGAGTGAGAAGAGTTTTTGCATGTCCTCCTTGTTTTCTGCCATTAATGCAATGTCTTCACAAGGACAAAGGTTTTTTTTTTTTTAAGGAAAAGGCCCCTTGTTAAGCTAAAGAAACATCTATAATGACAATGTACCTTGTCTCCTCTACTCCACACGACTTTTGGAGTTGGCTCACCAGTGATAGGGATCTCAAGTCTTAGTTTGCTTCCTGCCACTACTGTCACAGTGTTATTTTCCCCAAGACCATCCAGGTGGAGTTTAGGAGGATCTGAAAAAGGAGAGATTGTCCAAATTTGCTGTGTGACTGCCAGTCTGAGAGCTCACTGACTTGGGAAAGGTCTGCAACATAGAGAAACATGCTCTATGTATTTTCCTGGTATTATTAGTCAACTGATTTTTTGTGTGGAAGAAAATTTGTGAAGAAAATTTCTTTTAACAAAGTAATTGTCTGATGAAAAATAAATCATGCTACCATAGACATTTTGGAGTAGTAAAACCATTGAAAACAGTAAATCTATCTTCCTGGGGCAGAATGATGAGTATTCAGGTAACTTCTGAGAGATGTTTCCTCTAAGTGGTTCTTAAGAATTTCCATTGCAGGCTTTCTACAGCACTTTTTACCATGCTTCTGACATCACTGTTCTTACAGTTAAAATCCTTTTTCTGAAAATTAAGTGGTCACATTTTTGTACCCCATGTGTACAGGGAACAACTGATGAATACCCTCTTACAACTTTTATTTAATTGGAAGGTATATCTATTGGAAGTAGACATACCCCTCAAGTACCCCTTCCTTCTTCGTTCTCTATAAATGCTGCCAATGTTTGTTTTTTTTTAACACGGATATCCCATTTCTTTCAGCTTCAATTACAGAACATATTTGCTAAAACTTTGATCATTTATACTGCTCTCCTTTTGACTTCCAAGTTGCTGATTCCAGTTAAAAGCCAGTGAGGTGTTGTCTTGGGAAGTGTCAATGCTTTGTTTAATTTTTGTTCAGAAGACTGGGAATATTAACAAGCCTTCTGTTTTGCTGAGTGAAGAAAAGCTGGCCAGAAGCATTGTGCTCTCTAGATATCAGTTAATGTATTTAGGGAATCAGTTAATGTATTTAGGGAATAGGCAAATATGTACCTATTCTACTACTCTTTTATCAAACTAAATCACATTTCACAATGTTAGCAAGCCAATTCTTCAAAGAAGACAACACTGTATATCTGAAAAGAGGATAGCAACACAGACTTTTAATAGTGGTTTAGGTTTAGGAATTCAGCATCAATAAGCCTTCCTCATTAGCTCCCCTAGGCTTGTAAACTGTGAGCAGGTCTTGAGCACAGGCATAGCACTCTGACTAACTCACTTGAACTTTGCAAAAGCAGCAGGTTGGTTTTCTCTGGTGGATGCCTGCTCAGAGGAAACAAGCTGATTGTAATCAAGGATATTTCACACTGCCTTTAATTTCTAAAGGTCAGAGAAAGAGATGTTGTATCCAAGTCATTGTGCCAAGTACTTACCCACAACATGTACTTTGCATGGAATATTAATATTGTAGGCATCTGGTACAAACATGTATTCACCCTCATCATCAACAGCAGCACTTGCTATAACAAATCTGTGGATTCTGTAAAAAGGTGGAAAAAAAAAGCGGTCTAAATTATTTTTGAAGACTTTGAAGCTATGAGATAAAATCTGTAAAAAGCTTAGGAGATCTGTGCAAGTGTGTAAAATTACTGTCTAAAAATCGTTTGCTGGCTGCTTAGTGGTGTTTTAGCTGATTAAATACTGTGTGATTTGTACAAAACATTATTGAGACAACCACCAAATAATGTAAGCAATTTTAATATTTTTTGTTCGAACACAGAGCTAAAAAAATACAGGAGTGCAATCTCTGACACAGGGATTTTATGCTGCTGCCATTAAATTGTAAGTTGGTTATTCAAGAAGAAATCTTTAGGTGATCCCATTGTGGGAATATTCTGACTTGTTAGCAATCTTTGATAGGATCCAATATACTATTTGTTTGCCAGAATAAAGAAATGGGTGAGCAAAGCATATACTGCTCTTACTGCTTAACCGTGATTTCCAATATGATGATATTTTTGCTCTCCTATGACCTGCTGTGCTAAGCTCTGTTCCCTTCTTGCTCCTTTTTCCCTCACCTTGCCCTATGGGCCTATGTGGGTTGTGGGGAGTATATTCAGCTTATGTCCCTTACTACAACTGAGAGAGCATTAGGGAGTCTATGCAAACATTTTACAGCCTGTTGAGGAATGGAGGGCTGGAGCACCTCTCCTATTAGGACAGGCTGAGAAAGTTGGGATTGTTCAGTCTGAAAAAGAGAAAGCTTTGGGAGACTTTAGTGAAGCTTCCAGTACCTAAAGGGGACCTACAAGAAATCTGAGAGCGACTTTTTAAAAGGGCATATGATGATCATATGAGGGGAAATGGCATTAAACTGATAGAAGGGAGATGATCCTTACAAGGGCATTTCCCAGTTGTACGAATGGTCTGCTAAACTGAAGTGAAGGAGATATCATTAGAAGTAGGAGATTTTTGTTTGGTTTGGGGTGGTTTTTTTGGTTTTGTTTTAGTTGTTGTTTTTTGATTGATTAGTTTTGGTTGTTTCCTTTGTTTGTTGTTTGCTTGTTTTTCTCTAAACTGACAAACTTTCCATGAAATTTTTTTTCCATAAAAAAGGACGGATTAGAAATGCAAAGGGATCTGATATCTCCAAATACTTTACAGAGATACATGTTCTGAGTTGACATAAACATAATCTATCAGAAAACCTTTTAAAAGCTATGTGCTAACAGCAACAGCAATGTCAAGAAAAATTAATAGCTTTATCTTAGTTGGATCAAGGATTTGATGATTGTCCTCCACAGCCAAAAGACACACAATGACAGGAGGCAAGGAGACATGGCTTTCATGATGATAAAAACAAATATGTTTGAGGGACAGAGGAGAGGCTTGGTTACCAGATAATTTTCAGTGAAGTAGCACACATATTGGCACATCTCTACAGTATCGTTACATCAAAGTCAAGTCAATACACAACAGGCTTACCTTCCTTTGTGATAAAGCTTTACACGATCACTAGCTTCAACCAGTTGACCATTTTTGTACCATTTTCCTTCCACGTTCTCAGATATCTCACACTTCAGGTGGATTTCCTGTCCAAGCCTCACAGTCTGGTCTTCAAGTGCAAGTGATATCTTCAGTGGTCTCACTTAGGAAAACAGAAGCAGCGATATTAGTGCTAATATCAAACAATAGCTCATGGTTCTGTCACAGAGCAGCTACTAGCCATCACAATAGTCTTGAAATCAGAAAAATACCTCCAATATTAAAGTTCTCAAGTCAATTTATGTAAGCTACATAAATTAACCTCTTTTCATATAGCCTGATGCTGTAGGGTGATCCAAAATACCCATGTCCTTACTGGCGAAACTCCATGAGTATTTCTAGTAGAAGAACTAAGCCCAGGAGCATAACTTTAGTGCTGTCCCCTCTCTGGTGTTTAGTTGCTGGAGGTAGGGTGTTCCTATCCACCAGAGTCCAGTAAGAAACTTTCAAGAGGTGAAAGACCTGTGTCCCCAGACCTATGCACTAGAAAGGTTACAACCCACGTTTCCTGTCATCTAACAGTTTCCTAGCTGCTCTCATAGTTCTCCCAGCTGATCTGAGATACTCTGGAGACTTACCAAAGTCTTTCACCACAAGTGGGGACTGTAGTTATCAATCTGTTCTGTCAGGCTAGTAGAAAAAGCTGACTGGCCAGTAAGCTTAACTTCACATACACTAATTGATACTAATTTGCTAACAGAACAGCATGATTTGGCTGTGCTTAGGATGCCAATTTGTACAAAAAAAGTCAAAACAGTATTACCAAAAAAAGTCAAAACATAGTATTACAAAACAGCGTCTGTTTACATATAATAACTTTAGAGGATGGACACATACATTTAGCTAAAAAACACAGGCATTTAAAAAAGATATTGCACAAACAATTCTAAGGAAGCTACATAGTCATGTGTTTGGGCCTGTGAGTTCAGGCCAAGTGACACTGATGCTTTTGAACAGTATTCCCAGTTACAGAACTGCTTATTTTTTCCAACATACTTTTTTTTTTTTCTAATTTTGATTAAAAAGCCATGATTTGGCTTTCCTGTGAAAATCTGAAAGGATTAAAGGAAGGTGGCTACTTTGCTTGAAGATTTCACTTTGTTGACCTATTATATATTTGGAGGGATAGCTTGGTTTTCCATCTTAATGGTGTTACAGAACATTTTCAACCAGGACCAGGACTAGTTCATTGCCTGTTACTGCAAAGTCTAAACGAAAGTTACTGTTCTGGAGATTGGCAGCAGAAATACTGGTATCAAGTTAATTCTCCCTTTAAAGCCCCAGGAAAAGGCTTTGACATATGAACTTAAGAGCAAGATGGATGATACTTACAATCAACTGAAAGCTTAGCTTCTGATTGGCCTCCAGTTGTCATTACTGAGTAAGTTGCATTGTCATTTTTCGCAGCTTCCTCTATGACCAAAGTGTGTTTTTTGCCCTCAACCTTGATTCGATACCGAGAGTGAGGATCATCGCTAAGTTCTACACCATTTCTAAACCTAATGGAAAACAAATAATGATTATTTTTCCAATAGAATTCCTGTGCAAATAAGACTCCCGTAGACTGAAAATTCCAGAGAAAACTTTATAAGACTTAAGGCACAAGAAAATGTTAAACAAACTCATCCATGAATTTGTAAGGATAGTTTTGCTGTTGATACATTTTTTAACAAAGTTTTCTTGAGATTTACTTAATTCTCAGGTTTACTGGTATAGAGAAAGCTGTCCCCATTTTTGCCAACAATTCAAATATTCTGGGGTTTATTCTGAATAAAACAGTATCAGTTCAAAGTGTGGCTTACCATTTCACATTTGCATTTTCCTCAGACACTTCACAGCTCAGTTCTACTCGTTCACCAACATAGGTACTGGTATCCTCCAGACCTTTGGTCACCAAAATTGGAGGATCTTTGGAAAGAGTAAATTGCTCAATTACAATCTGAGAGAGAAAACTAAGTGAAAGAGCTTTTCAATATCATGCTATAGAAGACAATACGAGTTTAAAATTCTAATATTAGTCTCAGCGCACTTCTGCTTTTGAAAAGTCATTCCTTGTGAAGATGTGAGTAGGAAAAATGACAAATAAAAAAATAACATTTGTTCAGGTTAATTCCTGCCTTGCATCCTGTTTTATTGATAGTTTGTCCAAACAAATCAAGAGAAGCTGACATTTCCCACTTGTCTCCCATAGGACCCTCTCATAAAGCTGTATTTTCATTAGGTCCTATAGCCCATTATGCATATAGCCCCTGATGACATAATGCTGTGACCTTATTGGTTTAATCCATTCCTGCTATCAAAACTCAAGTCTATTTACTAACAAGAGATTGTACAACAGTTATCCTATGATATTTATAGGGGCAACGTAATTTGTTATCTTGAATTGTTTTCTGAAATATTTGAGGATTTTTTTTTTCTCACACTCTAAGTTTGGCTTTTCTCTTTGTTTTGTTGTGCTATGAATAATAAGACTGTCAACACTGTAGGAAGGGTGAAGAAATGGCCATCTATTCATAGTTTTGCTAGAGTCTTTCCTTAAATCTGTGCAGATGGAATGAAAACTAACTGCTAGAGAGCCTAATCTGAGGGTACTTGAAACAGATCAGTTGGACCAGGAGTGTCAGCATGATCAGGTACTTAAGTGTGGTGTTAGGGAAAGCCAACACTATGACAAGCTATTCTCCAAAATGGCTTTAAAACTATGGAGACTACAGCCTTACTAGATCCCAATGCACAGTATGAAATCAACCATAGTCCCATTTCAGGGTTTCCACTAAATATAGGATGAGGAAAGCTATGGCCAGGGATCACAGAAATGCTCAGTGATCCTAAGAGCTGCTAATGCAAATATATAAATCTACTGAACAAGGTCACCCCTGTTAATTTCTGTTGCAGCCAAAAAAGCCACCACAAGTTACAGCAGGTGAAATAGGAGCAAGCTGACATAGTTACCTCTCACAAAGAGTTCTGTGGAGCATTTCTCATCACCAGCTGTTACGTAATAGCGAGCATCGTCTGCCATCGTACAATTATTGATGAATAAAATTCTCTGGTTACCCTTGTGCTCAAAAATGTATCTGTTTAAACAGGAATGCAGCAAAAGTAAATTAGCAAAACTGCTGGGCCTCTTTTGTTTTATGCAGAAAACACTTTAGGGATTATTAGAGGTGGGAATATTGTATTCTACAAAGAACAGGAAAAATTGTCCTGGGAAGTAATTTTCAAGAATCAACAGAACTATCAAACAGCTTTTGGAAAAAAGAGTTATAGTGTAAAGAGACAACGAGCGTCTTCTGGTTTCTGGCTTTTTGGAAAATCCCAGGCTTAGGTGATACGAAAAAATAAATAAAAAAAAAATAGAAGAGCAGGCCTTCAAGGATGGAAAAAAAAAAAAAAAAAAAAAAATAGGGAGTATGAAACTCTAGATGAGTGAAGATGAAAATAACCAGTAACAGGACACCATCCTCATTCCAACACTCTTAACATTTTTGTGAAGCATAATAATAGTCGAAGTTAAGAAGTTAGTACTATGGGTAGGCCAGATGGCACAAGAGATCAGTAATGGGATATGGGGTTTTGGTAATGGGATATGGAGCCTTTCACCTTTCTGTCACCAATTTTGATCTGCTCCAGGTTTTGTAATGACCAAAGCTCATTAGCATCTGACAGCTGCTTCAGCAGCCTGGTAGAAATACACCAGAACATTCAATCCAGGTCCTTCTACTGGAAGAGGTATCCATATAGCTGCCTGCAAGACACTTCTGAACTGCTCACAGCAGATAGAGGGGCTGAAGAAAAAGTATCCTGATCATTATACATTTTTTGTCAACTATGAATATTAATCCAAATCCTTCACTGACTTTTGAAGCAATTGAATGAAAGAAATCTGCCCCTTCTTTGTAAGAGGGCTTTTGCTAATTTCTATTTTTTCACAGGATGAGAGGAAAAAGGTGCTAGGATTTTGTGCTACTGAGAAACATTTAGACATTACATTGTCGTGCATTACTGGTTGCACGTCATCATTCCTAACTGTGTCTGACTGTGGAATGGGATTTTCTGCACCAGACTGTAAAAGCTGGCTGTGCCCATACTAGGGACTGAGCTCATCTTCCAGCCATTGTTCTACCTGTACTCAAGTGTGTGCACCTGAAAAAACACTTCTTGTAGATAAAGCAAGAGCATAAACCAGTATAAAGGTGATACAGATGATGAAGCAGCTTGTACTAAATATCTCTCGTCTTAGAACCCAAGTACTGTAGAGAGATTCTGACCTTTGAGACATTGGAGTGAGGACAAGTGATTTATTTACTCACAGTGCTTCCCGATTTTTTTAAAAACTACCAAGTAGGAGATGGCTTCAAATTTTTTTTTGTTGAGGATCTTTAATTCTTTTCACTTGAGGCAAAGGAGATAATCTGTATTAACATTTAGCATTAACATTAACATTTAGTAGACTTCTCTGGGTCATGAGCAGTATACCATACTTTGCACATATAATGAAATTCAGAAATAAAATTGGTACAACCTGGGAAAAGAGACCTGTCAAGGAAATACATATGTACACATTTTATTGCTTCCATACAATAAAGCCACTTACTTTGCACTTGGTCGTATTTCTTGGCCATTTTTATACCACTTGAGTTCCACTGTTGGATCTGCGAGCTCTACCATGAACCTTACTTTACCTCCTTTGTCCACCTGATATGCAGGATCGAGACCCTTGGCAAAAGCTGTTGTGGAAGACAGGTGTTATTATAAAAGAAAATCAGATAACAAGAATATGAATGCTGAAATGATACTGCATAAATCTCATCAAAGCTGTCAGAATACATGCACACAATGTTATGTCTCTATATTCTTAAACCAGTCCACATGAATCAATTAATTTTCTAGAAACGTTAGAATAACTGTAAAGCTATGCAGATCTGACTATTCTGACCAGTTTCAAGCTAGTAGCTCTGCTTATCTCCTTCCATTAATAAAGCTTGAGTTGTAGTGTGCAAGCCCCCTTATGTGGGAATGAAGCAAGTTTGGTTTTTTAAGGTGGATGCTCCTTTAACTACTGAACATCAGAATATTCTGCTTTATCCATACCTGCGCTCTTCTTCACTTCCCTGCGCATGCGCTTCAGACGCTTTAACATGCCTCTCAGGTCAGTGATACCATACTGAAATGCAATCTTCTCATATTCACTGGGATTAGCGTTCTTCAGGAGCTCCCACACATCTACCTCAGGTTCTTCCTCTTGCTGTTTAACCTCCCTAATAGTAGCAAGATAAAAGTATGGGAGAAGAGTTAGTGAGGCTTTATCACACCATAAAAAAAGTGAAGCGGGATCTACAGTAAGGTTAGAAGCGTTTTGATCAAAGTTTGAAGGCTGCCATCATATTTTTTTATTTCATTTGATGTGAGTTGAATAGCTCAGAATGACATTCATGCATTTCTTTATACTTCTTCAAGGTAGAATTTGGCCTTTTCTGGTGTAATCAGTTATGAGTTTTTATATTGCTTTATTATTATTAAAAAAACCCAACAAAACACAACAGTGAAAACAGCACTATAATAACATGTGGGTAAATCCCACTTAAATAGCTTTTGTCTGTTGTAACTTGAATGGAATCAGTAACAATATATGATGGCATCACTGATATCTGAGTCTAATCTGTACATTTCATAATTACATAAATATGCTTTCAAATCCTAAGTCCCTGTAGCCGCTACTAGGGGTGGCTAATGAAAGGACATTGAAATCCAAAGGAATTTGGGTCTGTAGTTACACCAGTGCTTCTCAGTTACTTGAAGTTGGCATATGGATAAGAACTGGAGAAATCCACACCAGCTTGGACTTGCAAGATGGATCTGTTGACTTCCATGTTTTTCTCAGTCTTAAGAGCAGGAAGTGTTTTCAGAGGCCTGTGTGAGGCATCATCTTTATACAGAAGATTCAATACCGATTTTACTACCTGCAACTCCAAGCTAAGACAACCAATAAAGAGAAGTAGAATTATTTTCACAATGGCAGCCATTAAATGAGAGAACAATGGAAGCATCCTAAACAAAATGATAATTTCTGAGATTGACAGTTTAGCTGAAAAAAAAAAGTGAATTGCTACAAGAATCCAGGAATTGCAGCAGAAATCTAGACTTCATTTTCCTGTAAATTCATTAGGATCAGACCAGGATCATTCTGATTTGATCTATTTTGACAGCACTTGTGAGAACAGAGCAAGGAAATAAATATTTGAGAAATAAGAAATGGCTGAGCTTTGGGATAAGATGCTGCTAGAACAGAGCTCTATCAAGCCAGATGGAGAATTTTCTTTAATGTATACAAAAACAACACAGGGGGCCCCTGAGAATCTCTGCATTGCTGGATGAGAAACTATGGAAAACACTTTGCTCTTTAATCCATAGGTTTTATTAATTTTTGTAATATTCCAGTGTTATTTTAAAAAAGAAAAAAGCTTCTCACTGAGGAATCTTTGAAATACATTGTTATCTTAGAATTGCTGTTAGACAATTACGGGTATGTAATTTTATGTTTCTTTCCTTTTATCTGTGCTTATGCTTTCTGGAGGGTGACTGTGTAGCAAACACTGGTGTTTCAGTGGAATTCCTTCTGCAAGGCAGCAAGTCAAGATCAGCTTGCAAACATATATAAAATTCAACACAGCCCATGGGGTGTCATTCTCCTCTCCCACGTCTGGCTGTTTGCCATGCAACCCCTGTCCGTGCTAAGGAGGAGTACACTCCATGGGAATCAGGATCACGTACCCCTTTGAAGAGGGCAGTAGCTGAGAATAAGGATCAGTTAGAATATCCTGATTTTCAACCATCTTGAAATAAGTAATTCCAGATTCTTTTCTCCTCTTGTCTAACTGGAGAACAAGTAGAGCAAACCAACTTTGTTTTGAGACCACAATGCTGTTTCTGCTGTGTGTAATGGGCAAATAATGCTTGATATTTCCTAAGCAGACCTATCAGACCTACCTCTCCACAAAATCACTTTTAGATCTTTTCCCCAAAAATGTGCATTTCATTGAAAAATGTACTTTTTTTAAAAAAGGACCTAAATGTTTCAGTGTTTTTGAGATCTTATGCCTTTTGGAATTTCATGCTGTTACTGATCCATTGCATTGACGAAACATAACCAGTTACAGAGTGGCTTACTAGGATAAGAACTGGTTTGTCTTCCTGTAAGACCAGCACGAAATTTAAAAATAGGCAGTATATAGATTCTATGCATTTAGGTCTTTTAAAAAAAACATGTTTCAAGTATTATGCACCATAGGTGAAAAGTTCTATCTATTTCCTTGCTGATATAAGCACAAAAAAAGAGAAGGAATATACCTGCAACATTGCCTTTTGAAGAAATGAAAATGTGCATTTGGCTTTATAAAAATGGATATTACTACCTAATATAATTAGCAATCTTATTCAATTAAGCTCAGAATTATGAGGTTGCATATCAGTCCCTGGAGCAAGGAGGTGATGAACCAATTTGACCAGTATCAAATAATGGTGTTCAAAAACTAAAAGTTTGCTTTGCCCATTCACCACACAATAGGTATGCTATGTTTATAGCGCTATACGGTATTTTTCTTACAAAAAGTGTGAGTTACTTATTAGTGAAGTGATAATGACTCTTAAATTTTCTTTCCACAAAAACACCAAGACCTGTTACATGCAACATTCTGTTACACCCCACTGGCAGTCAGGAGAACTCTCATGGTAAGTTGTATTAGTATGATAAAAAGTCAAACTGAAGATCCTAATTAGGGATGAGAAGATTAAAAACCAAAGACCTGGTGGATGTGAATTGGTTCAGGCAATCTTTTCACTGCCTACTTATTCCTTCAGCCTTTCCTTTTTGCTTTATTTACTTAAATACTATCCTCACTGTGATAGCCCATTGGCCCATTGTTAACGTTTCATGTAACTAGTGGTAGATGAGATAAAGGCTCTAGTTCCTTTTTGAATTTTCTGTGGTCAGCTGCCATCGATTTCTGTGGCATATAGAATTTCTGTGATAAATTTAAAAAAAATAACAAATTAACTATCTTGTCTTAACCTGTTAAAAGACTAAACTGTGTTTAAGATCTGAGGTAGATAGAGGCATAACTATCATAACACCATATTTTCAAGGCAAACCAGAGAAACACACACACAAGTTTTTCTCTGTCCCAACATTTAAGTTGAATAAAACACCACTGAACATTTGTGTACACATAGTGAAAGCTTTAAATAAGTAATATCAATTTCTATGGTTTGAAATCATGATATATGCTTTTACGTATCAGGATGCTTATAAAACCAAATTAAGATGTATACAAAGAGATAAATTTAACTCTTGCATTTTTTGCTCTTGCACCAGAGTCAATTTTCTGAACTGCTCATCCCAGTGTAGGAAATTGTCCCCCTCTACCCTCCATGCAATCACAAAAGAAATAGCAAGTAAATGAAATGTTATTGGTCTCTTTAGGTTGTGGCTCACTTTTTATCCAGTGCACTCAAATCTGAGGTTTGTTTTCTGCACACTTAAAGGTACAGTTAATTAAACATTTGCAGATCATACTATGAGACTGATAGTTAGAAACATTGAAAAAAAAAGAAAGGTAAGATAATTTTTAAGAAGTTATTAATGCTACACCTGACTCTTTCTGTGTGCGAACCTAACGGTTTGCAATCCACACCTGCTCACTGCATCACTTGGTTCTCACCTACGTTTCAGGAGACCACTAAAGTCAAGTTCTCCTGCATCTTCTTGTCCTTCACCGCTGTTATTAATAGAAAAAGATCAGATCTTTGTTTAATACAATAAGACTTAGACAACACACATTGCAAACACTCTAGACAACACACATTGCAAACGCTCTATATGTCTCATATAGAATCATAGAATCATAGAATGATTAGGGTTGGAAAGGACCTTACGGTCATCAGGTTCCAACCCCCCTGCCATGGGCAGTGACATCTCACACTAGACCATGTCATCCAAGGCTCTGTCCAGACACACAAATTGTATAAATCAACACAAACTTGTATCCTTTTTCACACAAATTATGTTTCCTTGGGCACTTGTGAAAAATAACACAAATGTTTGTATTGCTTGTTATTATAGTTTGATGACAAATTTTTGTAACTGCATACATAAATTTGCCATGATTTGTGTTAGATTTCAGTAACAAATGAATGTAAACTAGTCAACACAACGAGCTTTGTTTCTCATTTCCATAGTGTATGTGTATAAAAACAAAGGGTTTGTGCTGATCTTTTTCTTTGAAAGTAAAACAAAGATTTGCATTGCTAGCTGGTATTTTTAACAATGCATAGCTGTGACAAATACTGATGCATTACACTTAAGATTTACCCTTTCTCTAAATGAAAGTAGAAATCAGTTAAAAACCAAAGAAATAGTACACCATACATTTTTTACAGATAGAATCACAGTCCTGTGAAGGTGCATTTCTTTCTATAATGTGACCTTAAGAAGTAATACCTTATTATAAAGCACATATAGACAAAAGAAATGCCTTTAATATTTGTTAAAAGGGCAAAGTCCTGCAAATGTTAGGTCAAATGATGCCAGTATTTCATCCCAGATTTTGCATGCAAGGTAATCATTGATAATCAGAAAGTACTTAGGTATCCTCATCCGCTTATGCAGAATGGGTGTCACAGTTTTTTTAAGGTATGCTGAAGAAAGGAGTGCACCTTGAATGTAATATCTTTTGCATTTACTCTTTAAATCAAATCCCTCTAAACAAAAGCAGTTACTTCTGAATCACAGCTTTGCTTGTATGCATAAATTAACAAACTGCGTTTATGCTATGAATGTTTGTAAAACATTTTCATTCTGAATATTTCTGTCCTTGTAAAACATTTTTTTCAATAGTATATAGAAACATCTATACTATTTTGAATAGATAACTAAACTTGAGACACAATGCTTTATCTTACACCCTCTGCAATATATTATTTGTAGTTTTCCCATAATGATGGTCCTATGACACCATTTTTTACTGTATGATAACATAAAGCCAGATCCTATCTCCTTGAAATCAGTGTGAATTTCCTCTCTGCTTTCAGTCAGTACAGGACTGAGGCCAGGAACTTTCATATTGTCACAGACAGCTTTCAGGAAACGTAATAGAATATTTCAGTGAACGAAAATAAAATTTAAAAAACCTCTAAAAAAAGAACCGTTTAATTGCCTTAAATAGCCCATATTCCCTTAAGGCAACGATTCTGTAATTTCACAGTAGAGTCTATAATATCATATGTACTGTACATGTGTTGTTATCAAATTCATTCTGCTCACTACCAACTACCCTAAACCCCACTTCCTTAATCTTTATTTACAAACAAAATTTCTTAAAGTACTTTATACAATTTCCTGCCGAGACTGATGTGAGTTCTATGCATACTACCAGCATCCATTACTGAGGATCTTCATAGAACCACTGTACAAAGTTACCTTCTTTTGAAAGCAGATCTGATGTCAATGGATTGGGCAGCCTGGGAAGACTCTATGAAATAACAATAATACAGGAATTAAAAACTTAATTTGAAATTAATGTAATTTATGTAATCAGCGCAACTTGTCATATGAAATTTGTTTAGTGTCCTGCTAAATGACCACCATTTGTGCTGCTCCTTTGGGAGTAAGTTCTGATGAATGCAAAGCTGTTCAATGCTAACCTAAGTTTAATTAATGCATTTCTCTAAAGTACTTTTTGCAGTTCTGCATAGATCTCTCTCATTGGCGTTTCTCTCTGATCACCTTCCTGCCTATACACAGGCTCTGGCCTTTTTGTTTTCCCATTCCCTATGCTTTCTCTCCTGCTGGCATCTTGCACTTTCTCAGTATGCTCAGCATCAGAAGATAGAAACAGTCCTCTCTGGAACTACTGACTAATTTTGATTCTCAGTGCAAGGATGAATCCCTCTCGTGTGAATTATCTGTTTGTGCCAGACTGAATCAGGTTAAATGATTCTGATCCATAGCCAGTGAATGGATGCAGCCAGGTTGGCCTCTGCCTTGCTGACCGCTGAATACACACACATACCTATGCCCCTCAGGCTGTCAGTCAGCTGCCAAATATCCCCTTAACTGTGACTGGCTTCCCCTGACTGGTGAACAGTCTGGTTTAGGCCATTCAGTAGGCATGCCTTATGAAGGTGAGCAACTAGTTTGTCCTCTGGCTGCTGGTCCTGGAATTTTGGAAGACATCCATCTTTCTCAGTCTGATTGTGCAGGTATGTGTGCACTGTTGTGCTGCAGAATTGCTCTCAAAGGAAAAGATAAGCCTATGTGTTGAGGTTTGCCAGACCTTTTACAACACAGAAGTAGACAAAGTCACTTCTCTCCAGTGCTCCCCACATTGTATTAGTCTTTACTTTGACAAAGAGTGGAAGAAATAGCTTTCTGTAGTATGATCATACCATGACTGATCAGAATGCAAAGCACTGGCAAACCACGAGCACTCCATATCCCTCTGTTCACATGCTGCCAGATGGAGCCTTTCTCAACAGCCTAAGCCTAGATCTTTGTCTTGTGTGCCAGAGCCTGACTTGAATTCAGTACTAGTTTTATCTGCCAGCTTTTCTGTTTTTTGTGTAAATGTCTCACATGCTATCTATCCCAATGTTCATTTAAACAATAACTTGCAGACACTTAAGAAAATTCTCTAAGCACTATGCTCAAAAAGTTCATTGGAAGCATTGCTTCATTTAAAGGTTCTGAACAAAATTAGGTGGCATTTCAGGTTAAAAAACCATGTCTTTCTAAAGCCTTACAGACACAAATGGAGACTTACCAGTAACTTCAAGGTCAAAAGAGCAACTATCAAACTTGTCCTTGTAAGACACTTCACAGCGATAGTTCCCTGCGTAGTTTTCTTTAGCTTTAATGATATGCATCTCAAATGTGTGAATCTAAAAATCAAACATGATTGTTCATTAATGTGAGGGTTACATTTGCACAAAGCAGAAGTTAAAGGATTAGTTTTTCAGACCTCAACCAGAAGCAAGGAATAACTTGAATAAAGGGCTGTGGAAAGAAACTGCAACCCAGAAATGGCAATGAAAAACTTCATCTTCTCCACCACTACTTGTCCTGAGAGGGGAAAACAGAAAATTCTGCTTCTAAGCAGGGTCAGAGATCATCACTGAAAACTGCATGGGAAAGGCAGAGTTAGAAACCACCGCTCTTGAATTTCTACCTGTTGTCTTAAGCTGACATTTAAGCTCTCTTTGGAGCTTTGCCCCATTAAGAAAGAAAAGCAAAGACACACCTTAGTGTGACGCTCAAAGGACTCTTTCAGCTGCAGGTGCTTCCCTGCTTTACTGGCCAGGTCCATCCATTTTCCTTTGAACCACTTAACATTTGGCTTTCGGAGAAGATCTTTGGCTTCTACTTTGGCTATAAATGTAATATTCCCACCTTTTGAAAAGAAAAAAAGAATAATGCAGTCATTGAGGAACATGTAGTCACATCTGTACAAGTTTCTTTTACTGCTGCTCCATCCAGTCTCCATGTGCTTGCTCTACCATGACAGTAAGAATCAGATGGAGACAACAGGCTCCAGATTCCACAGATGGAATCACTATAGAGATTAGTGATTTGGGGTCTGGAATCCTTCTGCCCATGTTTATGTGGACCTTGAGACACTGAGAAGCAGAATAAATTAGTTGAGGCAAAACTCCATGTTCTCCTGGGTAAATTGTTCCAAATATTTGGATTTCCTTGCCTAAAACAAGAACAGGTATTTCTAGCCTACTAGGCAGTAGTAACATGAATGAACTCCAGTCTGGAAAAGAAAGCTGGAGCTCTTAATGCATTTCTATTCTTAATTCTTTAAGCTGAGAAGAGAGGGAAAGAGCCTTCTCTAAACAATAATTTGGGAATAGTAGAAGTTAGCTCAATTTTCAGAACATCACTACCCAGTCCCTTCTGAGTTTCCATTCTAATACTCATGGGCTTCAGAGAAGAATAACTCCTTATATTTATTTTCTAATTATATTCTCCCAAAATGATAAACTTCTACTCAGAAACTGATAAAAATAATAGGCATACATAAACACACCCCAGCCCACCCTCCATCTGACCACTTCTTAGCGTATCCAAGTGCAGAACAGACATAGATATCCTGTACTGAACTTCTCACCATTGCTCCTACCCTGCTTAGGATGCAGCTACCTTACCATGATAGTACAGCTAAGGAGTGCAGTTTGGAAGGGAACCTCCTAACCATCCCCATTTACTGTGCTCTGGTTCACAACATGGAAAGTCCTCACAGTGCTTGAGCTCAATTCCTCTTGGGTGAAATTAAAATCACAGATGTGCTCTGAGTGTTTGCCAGGTCTGCTCCAGCTGGTTATAGGTATATATAGGCCACTGGACTAAACCAGTGCTAGTTCAGAGCAAATCCCCCAGAACGGTTACAGTGGGGGTGACTTATCAGCTTCCCTGCAGAGCTGCTCCTATTAGTCTACTTGCTAATTTACACACAGCTGTAGGGTACAGAGGTTGACCTGGCAATCTCAAAGCTGTTCTGCAGGCCTTTGGGTAGATCGTCCTGACATATCAATAACAGTACAGCCAACAGCATTACAGTAACCAGCTCTCTTCTCCAGAAATTATACCTCTTACCCATTGTGCTTAGAAAACTATTAGATTTTAAGCTTGTCTTGAATTAAACAATTGTTTTTTACTTCTCTTTGTACAGTTATTTTTGTCTTTGAGAAGTAGACTTCACATCCAACTACAATCTGTTTCAGCTGAGGGCAGAAGCTGAGTGTTAGAAGAACTGCACATACCTTTCCTGCCTCTGCCTCAGTCCCTGTCTCAATGTGAGTGGCTTTTGATTTTGTTTCTAAGCACTTACCAACACTCACTGAACCGCTCTGAGGTTTTTCAACGAATAGAGTGGACATTTGGGAATCATCACGTTTTTCTGATTCTTCTGGAGCTCCTTCTCCAATAGACCATACTAAGATGCAGAGAGAGAGAGAAATATTAATCATCTGAGTGGGTTTTCCTCCTCTAAAATGCACTTACCTGAATTTACTGAACTCTCTAACCCTATTACCTTTCTCTTCAGATGTCCTGAAAGATATGTAAGTTTTTGTTCACACTGACATCCACTGCTTGGCTGTCACATTGTGTACAGTTCCTGCAAGAATGCTACCTTTGTGGTGACAGAAAGTGAAACTATCAGGGAGGAAGAGAGGGGAACCTGATCAGCCAAGATGGGTGCTGAGATGGGTGCTGAGCAACTTGAATGGCACCAGCATTCAACCATGAGTGCTTTACAGAGGAAATGCACAAAGGTCAGCTCTTTGTTTTTCAGAAGAGATGGAGGTTCTGAAAACACAAACAGCTATAAGCACAAGAAACCACATATGATGTGTAGTGGGTCTCTCTCAAACCCAAACTCAGTCAATTGTACAAGCTATTTTTTATTATTTGTCCTTAAAATGAGGCAGGCATGAAGCTTACTGTTGAACCTTGTTCTTTTCCACCATGATAGAAACAGAAAGTTGGGGATCAGTCAATGACGTATCCTGCCGTGTGCATTGGCTGATGTTCTACAGAAAAAGTTTGTCAGATGGAAATGACTGTGTCATGTGTTCAGACACAGCATCTTCCCTTCTGGACAATGGGATTTTGGAACTGAAAAGGAGCAATTGTACTAAGAGAAGCAGCAAGTGAGCAGTTTCCCCAGGGCGGAAAACAGTCTGAGCACAGCTGTTCATTTCTGGTATTTCTGCTCATCTGAGCAGTCCTGGCTTTGTGCTATGCGGTTATATCTCAGGCAAAATACACGCAAAACCATGGCCAAAGCTGATTCCAAATAGAAAAGACAGGGAAAGCAAGGCAGCAAACTTCTGTCTGCTACCTGCTCCCTTTCTGCAGAAAGGCAAAGCATGTCTCATTTTCCAAATGCGAACTTGCAGAATCCAAATGCCACATCTCCTTTTTTTGAGGACTTATTGCCAGTGCACAGGGGAAACTGAGTAAAGCCATTGTTGCCATGGTAGTACTGAAGAGCAGAGCAAATGTGGAAGTACACAGCTATAATTAACAAAGCTATTGGTCTCTTTCAACTCAGAGCTGCATCTCCCTTGTTCCCCTTGAGCTTCTTGTTTCAGAAGTGAAGGTAGATTTTTATAGCATACCCAATACTCTTTTCATTTTGGTTTCATAACCAGCATAAATGAGGAACCAGCCACACAACACTTCTCCCTTAGTCAAACCCTGGTCTTGAAATTAGAAGTTTCTTTCCCTGCTCAGTATTTTCTATAGAAAGTCATTTTCCTGAAGTCAGAATTGTAGAGGTTACTGCTACAGGAACCTTTCTAACTCATGAAGATTTCCATCGCTCGTGAATGCAGTGCAACTCGTGACAACAATGGGAAATGCAACCAAACTGTTTTGATTATCCCCGAGTCTATTAGGAATTTTTAAAAGATATAGAAATGCTAGATTGCTTTGCTATGAAATCTTTGCCTTTCATTCTTTCAGTGAATTATGGGTGGTGTACCTAACACATCTGTGTGTGTTTGCTTGTACAATATTACAGGTAAAGACATCCATGTATATACACACATGTATATACACATATATGAAAACATATATACAGACATACATGAACACAAATATATATATAGATACACATCTATATATACTCTCTCTGCAATGTGTATGTTTAGATTATGCCAGTATAACATGGTAATATACGGAAACAATGCAAGAACAAATGATAGTTACTGGTATGAACAGAATGAGGTGACAATGCTCAGTACAGGACCTGGTCACATGCGGTAACCTAATACGTCACAGGATGAAATGGAAAAAGGGTATTAATAAATAAGAAAGAAGCTTACACAGACTCATTAATTTGGTACCACATAAAATAACACCTAAATATTATCATCACCTTTAGATATTAACTTTTTCCTATTTATTAAACAAACAGAACAAAACGTGGGTTTGATGTTGGTTCAGGGGGCTGGCATAGGCGGCTATGCCAGGTCAATAACCATGGTTGAAGTACCTGCTGCTCATTTTGTTCCAGAGGCTGCAAATCCTGAAACCACAAAAGTGGGTGTAGTATGCGTTACCTGCCAGGGTAGGAAGAAAGAGGTTATGACTTTCCTAAGTTTTTCCCACCGTCCTTTGAACTGTGAGAAGAAGCCATTCTCCTATAGTCTCCTGGGGCCTGTGTGTGGGATTCAGGTAAGCCACTGTCACCCTGTAGGCTGAGGAGGAAGGGAATAGCTGCATATCTATCTATATAGAAGTAGGTATAGATAGATAGGTATGTATGTATGTGTAAAATACTGATACATGTCCTGTCTTGTACAGCAGAGCTGTCTCTCAGTCCTTGTTTAGCTGCTAGAAACCGATTTGATTTGATACTTAAAAGCATTTCCACAGCTATAGTTTGAGGCTGTATAAACAATGAAAACAAAAATAAATATTGTCTTTAAGATTTAAAGTATTAAGAATAATTGTATTAGTTAATTTTGGAGTGTTTCATTATGTTTTTCAGGAGGTCTCACCTGAATCTTTTCTTTCTGCTGGCTTAGACATCCCATCTGAAAGGGAAGAGCAATTTAGATGACACCAGCTCAGAGATCACAGCCTAACTAACCTCACTGAGATTTTAAGAACATTAATTCTTCATGCAAGAAGATTAGACTAGATATTTAAGAACATACCCATGAGGAACTACTTGAATACCAGAAAAAGGAAGTGAAGAGCTAAGAAAAAAACTCAGAAATCTTTTCCCTTTTCTAGAAAATGTAAATTAGTTTAGTTAAATTCCCATTCAAGTTTTCCTTGTTAGCAGTTCATATTTGGAAGTATTCCATGAGGATAATGTTTTTTTTCATGACTTGTGTAGTTCCAGAAAATAGGCAAATTGCAATGTTTATCTGAGAAGACAGTACTTTGAATTATTTAAATAGCCTATTTATTTATCTAGGCTAAGCAAAATAATGGCAGTTAAAATGACATTTTAGGGGGTTGTGATTACAATATTATTTATATATTTAGTGTTTATCAATCAGGTACTCTAGTACCTTAAAGTAGTGTACTGCCACTGACTTTAGAGGTAGCATTCAGCCCAAAGTTAATAATGCAAATTCTTTTGGGAGAAATCAGGAAAAATGTGATCATTTAGGGGAGTAAAAGTAACTAAAAGCATAAAAGCATATTTTTCACTTGAAACACTTTGAAGTGTTTTCTAGTGTTCAAAACTCTGTTTCATTCGGTTTATTTTTTAAAATCTTATTAAACAAGCAGTGGAGAAATTCTGCCTATGTCACATCAATCATGATGGACCTCTGGGCTGTTGCTTTTCTTTTACTGACAGCAAACAAAGGCATTTTATCTGCCACCTTAGCAGCATTGGCTTGGAGTAGTATGTTCAAACTACTTTGTAGGTCTTATGGCCTAACGTGAGGTGATAAATAATTATGTGGATAAACCTTTTCTGAACTCATAAGGCATCTGTTTAATTTTAATTCTGGAATTTTCTCTCAAGACTAACCTGAAAAATGCATTCCATGTCTGTTGATAGAAAAAAGACAAGGGGAGTTGTTTTCAGAGCTGCAAACCAATATTTTACCTTTATTTGGCTGTCCTTCCATAGACCTCAGGTCAGGACCAGAAAGGAACTTATCTGCTATGAAGGTCTTGTACTTCTGAACAGAGTTCAATTTAATGTAGGGCACTTCAAGAAACTTTTTCTCTAATTAGTCTGAGTTCAGTCTAATGGTTTGGACTCTTTCTTCATTAATAGTCAAGAGAAAAGTACATACATACATACACACACAAAGCACTACCATGGTCCTAACCTGCTGGTGGAGTACTAACTGAAGTATCATCTTCATCTGTGAAAAGAAATACAAATAAAAAGGTACATAAAGAACCTGAAAGCACAGAGGATCATCTGCTTTCTAACAACTACATGAAAATGTAAAACCTGCAAAAGAAAAGAAATCATAATAGTCAGGAGCATTCACAATGGAAGCTTCAAACTGATGAAGAAAGCTTTGCATAATTCAGTAGCTGAAATGGTAAACCTTAATGTTTCAAGCAAGTAAAAGAAAAATGAGATGTGGAGAGGATCTATTATTAAATCATGAGTTTATATGAAAGCTGCTGAGTGGTTCTGTTTGTTAGAGATGTAATCCACAGTAAATACAAAAAAAGCCACAATGAAATCAAGGTCAATCACATATCTGACCTGAGGAAGATGCCATTTCTCTGATGACCATGTCTGCAATTAAAATGTGCACCATATATGCATTCAGCATTATTAAATCAAGATATGCAACATTTAAAACCAGAACCCTATATTTATACTTTGTAATTTCCATGTTAGAATATTAAATTAATATGCAAGGAATAAACAACTAGTTTTTCCTATATTACAGAATAATAAATGACAAAAGTATTACCATTGCATTGGATTTTACTTTTAATCACACTAAAAGTTGATTATCATCAGGTATTAAATCACTATAAGCAATTGTTACTCAGGTATCTTAAAATGCTTAATCTCGTAGAGCACATTGAGGTACATATTTATATGAATTAAAATTGTAAAAAAAAAATAAAAGTGAAACTGGCGTTAGACCTGAAATACTGAGCTCATGATCATGAGAAAACCAGAATAAGTTAAAGACTATCTTTACAAGAGTTTTCTACATCCCTTTGAATTTTCGATGTTCACCAGAAGCCTCAGAGATGCCAAGTTCTGATAAAAATATACAAAAAGTCTTAGTGTCTTAAAAGCCTAATTAAAAAAAAAGCCAAACAAAAAACCAATATAACATTTGAAAAGCTAGAAAAGACTGAACATATTTAGCATTTAATACGTATGTACTGTAAATATAACGTCTTTTGAACAGTATCAGAAATATCATCTGGAGAACATTTCAAAATTGAAAAGACAGTTGAATAAGAACAACTTTGGAAAAATATTAGCCCACCTTCTTAAAGAGTTATTTTGGGTTATTTTTAGATTTTAGATTTTGGTTTCCAGAATCAAATTTTAACTCTGAAATTACTCTTTGATTTTGACTTTAAAATTATAATTTGTCTATATTTTCTCAAGGACAAATGTAGTAACTATGATGAAACCACATCTAAAATATAGTTGCATTTTTGTAAGTACTGATCATATTGTTTTGTGTTTGCTTATCCACTGAAGGCTAATTGAAAGTCTGTTAATAGAATTTAACTACTTAGCCATAACATTTTACTCATTCCTTTTTAATGATTCATCAAAATTCTTTTAAAAAATCCCTTGGGAGGAGGATGTCAGTTGTAAAAGGTAGACCTACACATGGAGGATTAATGTGTTATCTTACAAAGATGATTTCTTATTCACAGCAAAAAAGTAAATTAAAAATTCATTTAGTGGAAACGTTCTCAGCACCTGTATCATTCCAGTGGCATATGCAGACGATGATGTTGATTTTCAGTGAAAGTACTGTAGTGATGAAGTCATGTCAGATGTTTTAACGTACTGTGTTGACAAGTAAATGAATGCAAGGATAAGTAATTCTACTGCAAATCTTTCTCCATATTCCATCAAAGTAAAAACTGTGCTTTCAGCTCTTTTTGTCAGTGTCATCATTGTGCTTGGCTTGAAGAGGTATTCTTCTGGCCAGAATATTCTCTCTGGCCAGAAAAAAAGTAATTACGATCAATCAACGTTAAACATTTGATGTTATGCACCCTACATGGTGATGTATGATAATCACACTGTTCAAGGACTACTCTATTTGACTTGTTTTCTTTAAACATTTGAAAAACTAGAATAACAAAAGGTCTTAGTTTTGCAGAGGGATTGTTGGGGTTTCTCCTGGGTAATCTATAATTTTTCAGATAAAATGTTAACAGGAAACAAACAAATCAAACCAAATAAACATTTCAGAAGTATCAAAATGAAGGCATAACTGAATGTGCTGTAAATGGTAAGAGCACAATACCAATATACGCCAGTTGTGAGAAATGGGTAATTATCAGTCCATTACTCCTTGTATCTCAGGCTTCTAGGACAAAATGAAATGACTACTGAATAAATATGAAAAATGGTTCAACAGCTATAACCAATTTGCTTTCGGTGATGAATTGTTTAACTTAGTAATAAATTCTATTTAAAGATAACAAAAAATGCAATAGTGCCAGTACTGGCAGTAGAACTATGATCATTAGTTCACAGTCCTTATCTTCTGCAAGTAAACTTTTAATGGAATGTATTTAGTAATCTGTTGTATGACAAGAACTAGTTAAGAAGAAACTCTTCTTTCAGCTACTCTACAGAGACTTTTGTTCTTTGGCTTCTATTCATCTGTGGTACATTTTCATTAATAAATAGGATATTTATGTTTATTTCCTTGTATCTAAATGATCGCATTAACTGAGCACTAGGTCTTTTGGAGCTCCATCAGGAGCAGAGTCTTGTAGAATGAAAGAACACTTCCAATCTCAAAATTAGCTAATGTGAAACTTCTTTATATTCACAGTTAATGTAACCTCAATATTAAAATTTCTGACTGCTGACACAGCAAAAGTGTAGAAAAATCTGTCAAAATATAAGTAATAACTTCTGGTTTATATATGAACTGCTGATACCAAGAGTTTTATATTTTATACTTTCCCTTTATTTTAAATCCACGACACAAAAATGGAAACTGCTATTCTGCCATCAGTCATGTTGATCAGCTTTGCAGAAGTGGCAAAAATCACAGTGACCTATTCTTTTTCTTTTCTATTTTCTGGCTGTTTAAAAAAAGACTTGAAAGCCTTGTGTCACACAGTCTAATAGGGGAATTCTGGAAGTGACTCCACTGGAACAGCATCTCAAACTTGATTTAATCAGCTAACAGAGCTGGTAAACTTATTAGTCTTTCTTTGTTGTTTTTGTCTGCTCTTGCTCACTGACAATGGGAGCTGGCATGAGAGATATGGCAAAATGGTAAAAGAGGAGAGACACTGTTTTGCAACTGCAGGTGTCTTCAGAGTGCCTTAACATTTATATGTGCTTCCATACACTGGAACAAGTGTTCCAAGTTAACGGAGGAGGTAAGAAAACACCTCAAAGAGTAAACCTGTGTCTTTGTGGTGCATAAATAAATATAGAGTAGCTCAACCAACTGGCTGAATCGTTTTGATTTGCGTTGAAGTTACTGAGCACAGTTTAATTCTTCTGAGACTAAGTTTAAAATTTAGTTGCCTCCAATTACCCATCTGATTTTCAAAGAGCATTCAGCACTTGGCATTTTGGGAATGGTAAATGAAGTACATTTGTACAGCGATGGAAGTTTTAGCAGCAATATGAATGGATAAGTGAAAGCTGGGAACATAGAAGGATGGAAATGAAAGCATTTTAGTAGATGGTTTGATGGAACCTAGAGAAAAAGGTACCAATAAAACATGCAGAAAAAACATGACTGGATGTGACCTAAAAAGGAATGAGCAAATTTGGTGCTAAAATTCAATTATTATTCCAGCAAGTGGAAACACTTTTATAACAATATTCAATCCAGAAGATAAGGCTAAAATCAAAAGCAAAGGAAGAAAAATTTAAATTGAATGAGTATGGGATAACAGTAAATTTGATGGCATTTCTGCTAAGTCACTTTTTCCTCTGAAAATAAAAAGGAAGATCATATATATCCTGAATTCTTAGGACATTATTTCAGATAAGTTTGAAACTAGAAATGTTATAAAATATTATTTTATGCAAAGATTTATTTTTACTATTCTGAGAGACTGTTTTACAGAAAAATAACCATAAGAGAACAAATATTTTATCACACTGTCTGCCATTTATTAACTTTACAGTGAACATAAAGGAACATAAATATGTAATTTCACACAGACAATAACTACTAAAAATAAGTAGAACACTAAAACAGACACACAGATAGGTGTACTTTATCTTCCTAACTTCTGCTTTTAACTTTGTTTTAGAAATGAGGTGAAAATTATGGACTGTGTGGTTTATGTGGACTACCTAGCTGTCTTTCCTAAATATCAGGTTGCAGGATATCCCAACTTTGTGGCAGAGAGGGGTTGTCCCAGGCTCCTACAGGGTGCTCTTTCGTATAAATTATCAGCAAAGAGGTTATAACTGCTGACACACAAGTATTGTAAAATCACCATTGAATTTGGATATGAAATCTTTCGCATCTCATTCGCATTCAAGGAAGTACCTGAATCTGAAGCATTACCTGTTTCTGAAGCTATAGAAACAGTTTTCTAAACATCTTATACAAAAGCTAATGTTTAGCTGGTTCTGTCCTCATTTCCTTATGGAGCTGCTTATTTTCTAGTGTAAATGATTTTGGACAGATTGGAAAAATTGAAACTTTTCCTATTTTGTGAATTATGCTCACCATTATAAAGATTTTCTTCTGGCAAACAAACAGGAAGGAATCACTCTAAGAAAATATACTTTCCCTTACTTGGTGATACTCTGCAACAAAATAGGAGCTGATAGGAACAATTGCATTATACCTAATTGAAAAAAATTAATTATTACTGAGTGTCTGGCAATGACATCTACATTGCCTTGCAGCGGTAAAAGTTTCACTGGAGCGTGGCAGAAGGACATTCTTTCTACATATTGGTATTCAGACTTTCACTGGGATTCTAACTGAGGCAGCTGCTGCCACCATAGTCTGAAACTGAAAGCACTTCCCATGTTAGGATCTCAAACCATTTTTTGGTAGCAAAATCCTCCTAAACAGGGGAAGCACCAAGAAATCATTTCCCCCCCCTAAGGAAATACCTGTATTATTCACTAAATTCAAAGCAGAAATATAATAATGCATAAAAATATAACAGAAATATTTGATAAGATACCTACCATGTTTTCTTTTTTATTCAGTACAATGTAGAATAGTAAGCAGTGGGGAAAACGCCATTCATGTTCGTTTGGGAACAAACATTATTGTTGTATCAAAATTAAAGCAAGCAAAACTAAATGCTGGAATAGCTTGAGGCAAGACCTTCATCTTCTTTCCTATCATTAGGCATGCAAATTATTCCTGACTTGTGTTTCCATTACCAGGATGACAGATTTGATTACTCACACAAAATTCTGTGTGTCAAAATAATTGCTTAATACAAAGTTAGCTGGCAAAATAACATGCACTGAATCCCTGTTCAGCATTTGTATTTTCAAAAGAGTATGTGAATCACACGCTCTCAGCTTTTATATTTTGACTTTGCTGAGAAAAATAGCCATGCATGTCTTCGCCAAATGAATCTGCAAGTATCAAGTATTCATCCAGTCTGTTTAAAAGGCAAGATTTTGTCTGGAAGAGACCAAAAGCCAGAATAAATTTTCAAGCAAGCTATTTCTTGATTTGCCATGAACATGAAAAAGTATAATTGTGCCAAATCGAAAGCAAGCATTGCATCAGTTGCAAGTATATTTTGGTCTGCGTTAGCCTTTTATCAGAATGAAGAAATAATTAAAAAAAATTATTCATTTCAAAATGATCTGATGAGCAGTTTGAATTCTACTTTGGCATGAGTACAAACAGGAGCAGAATTTGGCTCAGTTCTCTCAAAATGTATTTTTGTAACTGGAAGAATTGCCAACAGAGCTGGAGTCTAATCTCAGCACCACAAAAATATATATTAAAATTGGACCTGATTTTTACAGGCATTGCTAGTTGAACAGCTGTGTGATTGTTCACAGCAGACAGTCCTCAAAGATATTTTTCAGAACTTCTAATGAGCTCAGCTGCTGGGCTTCCCAATGAGAACAGAAAGCTGAATGTGTGATTTCTTTTCTTTTGGATGAAAAACATCTATTGGACTTTGCTGAAAGGTAAAAAATGCAATATCAACTTTCTGTTTTAGAATAGAATTAGCTTAGAATGAGAGTAGGAGATTGTCTGCTTTACTTAAAAGCTACCAGTGTGCATAGGATCCAAGTTTTAGCAAGCTTGGTCAGTGTCACCTTCCAGGCTCACTTAAACATCACTTTCTGCTGCAAACTTCTGAATTAAAGCTCAAGCAATCCAGCATCAGAACAGCATCTAGGAATGTTCTCTTTACTGCCCATTTTTTAAAATATGATTTCAGACTTACCTTTATCCTTTCCAGTTCCACCATCCTGTGGTGTTTTCTGTTCTGTGTAGGAAGTACAAGTATATTTTTGAGAGGATCTTAAAGTAAAGAGAAAAACTTACACAGCATTAAAAAATACAGGAATATTCTAGGTTCTGCTAGTATTGAAAAACCAAAATGAAAAAATTACTAATATATCTGTATATGGAATAGACAGTTAAAAACCCATGAAACATTTTGCAGCTCTGCATATCAATGCATTTTCTAAGTTTTGAATGAGTAATATAAGATTGATGTTCCTGTACTCAGTGGAAGAAAAATACTGGGTGCTTTAGAAGTAGGAATTGTTAATCTGTTGTTCTCGGGCTTATTTGCAACAGCCTTTGAAATAAGTTACATACTGTTAGTTTGAATGGAACTGGATCAGACATGAAATACTTCAAATATTAATAGTATCCAGAGCTCTAGCACTCTAATCGGTTTATCATTAAGACAAAGTTCACAACACAGAAGGTATATTGAGAGTGTTCTTAATACCATCTTCATCATTATCATCATTATCTTTCCTAAGATATTTGTTTTTATTTTAGTTGATTAGAATAGATGCCAGCTTGTCCTCTACTCCAAGCATGGGAATGTGAGTTATCTTAGACCTCGTATGAGAAACAGGTATGAGTCTGAGTATGAGAAAACTTGGACTGTATTTTCAACAAAATAAAAATCTCTACGTTTTCTGTATTTCAGGATTTGTTAAGGTTCCTATCTCATTTAATTTGCATACAAGGCTACTTGTAAAGTTATCTTTTGTGACATGGGAAAGTATCTGCGAGAGCCAGTTGATATTGTCTTTATCCTGATTTCTTGTCCACATGTGCATAGCCGTGGTTACTGTAAAAATGAAATTCAAAATTTGGATGGTAAGTCCATATTCTGGAAGCATGACAGACTCCTGGATGCTTCTGTCTGGATTTCCTATATTTTCGGTTGTCAGGTTGTCCATCTTGGCCTTTTTAATGGGAGTTTTCCTACAGTAATACTTTTCTTTCCTGCTAGGAACTGGGATTAGGGGAACTCGTTTTTCTTGGAAGTTGTCATTATGTCTAAATCCCACTTGAAAACCTCATCATGGCTAACTGCACCAACTTGGTGGCTTGACATTGAGATGTAGAAGGAGCTCTTAGAATGGCTTCCAAAAAAATTCCTGGTGCAGTTCAAGATGCTGATTATGTCCAATAAACTATTTATATATTATAGCATTTAGGTTCTTGAACAACCAACTTCCCTCTTTGTGTAATAGCACCTAGTAATCCAAGATGACAGCATCTTGAGTCAGGCAAAGGGAGAAGAGACTGGCACTTCCAACTTAGAAAAATCTCAGTTTGGTCTGTGCCTAACATAAAAGCCTACTGACAACCTACTTGCTTTACCAAAGAAGTACAGATATGTGGAGAAGGAAGGGGGTTATAGGAGTGATTTCATATCTAATCCTGTATACTTAAATAGAAATGAAGGAGAATTTATTTAGCGAAAATAGCTGTTTTTAATATAACTCTTTGAAGGTGCTATTCCTTTCTTCCTATTAAAAAGTTTCTCATTTCAGTTCTACTGAAGATTGACGAAGAACATGAATTGAAGTGCAAAATATACCACAATAAGACTCTCAGTGTGTTGAATTACTTTAATATGAACTGTGCAGACCTTATGCTTGAGTGAAATACAGCCATCATGAATGAAATACCAATTATTTTTTCTTACAAATGCATGCAAGAGTTCATCCTAACATGAAAATAACATATGGGTTATTTAAACATGAAAATCCTTGTGGCAAATGATACTACTTCCAGACTTCGTAATTTTTTAGAGTGTATCACTTAAAAATGTCTTGAATCAGACTCATAAAATGCCAGTATGCAAGACTGCAAGTAAATGAAGGTTTAACACCCAGAGAGTATTTATTCTGTTTGATATTGCTGTTTAGGTAGCTACACAGAGTAAAACTCCCCAGATGCTTATATCAGACATGCATAATGTGTATACATATTAACCAGCATCTGAGAATATAACTTAAGTTACTCATGCAAATCAAACCCACAAGGCAAAAACTTGCCTCCCTTTCCAGTTTCCTTTAAAGAAAATGCAGCAGCTCAGCACAGAGCTTCAGCTTTACCTGAAGCCCTAGTCCTTGTGAATGATTTTCATCTCATCTAACTTTGGTTTCCTGGAAGTTACTTACCCAATCCCTTCTAGACAACCAGACTGCTCAGGACAATTGCCTATACATAGACATCCAGTGACATTTTAGATAGGTTATCCAAGAATTGCCCATAGGATGAACATGGGTGAGACCCAAGAGCTGCTCCACTGGTTATAGGTGAAGCACTGTTGAACAAGATATCTAATCTTCAGATGGCTAAAATTAGATGAAATGAAACCCATGCTTGATTCTGTCAACTTTATTCACAGTATACCTTCAAGGAAAAATGAAAGGGAACATTTTGATAACTAGATGCTCTTCAGCATCAAATAAGACAGCATTATTTAAACAGAATTTTAGCAGTCATAATTTTCTTGTATTGTGAAGGACATTTGCAGCATTAAGCAATCAACAAATATGACAAATGAAAATTGAGTCTGAAAAATCAACATCCAGGCAAAGTGAAGCAAGCATATCTTATTTGGGATGGCTCTTTCACTTTTCTTATTATTCTCTCACTTTCAAAGGGACAATGAACAGAAATCATATTATGGCTTTGCAGAATCTAGTCTTCTGCAACCATTGTTAGTGTTACAGTGCAAATTAGTATTTTAACACTGACCTGGAGGTGGTGGTGCACTCTCTGTTTCAGTCTCTGAAACATAAGGAAAGAAGACAGATCTTGAGCTTCAAGTAAAAGCAAATATTTTTTACACATTTGGTATATACTTGTTAAATTTAGATGTAATTTGGGTTCTTTTAATATTTTAATGCAGTTCTCAAATATTTTTTTTGCTTTCACACATTCCATACATGTCTTCTTCAAAGTGACATTGTCAAGGGCTTATGCTCTGTGAAGAGAGGGTACTGAACTTGTTCAGTCTGGAGAGATATAATGCTCTTAGAATCATAGAATCATTTAGTTTGGAAAAGACCTTTAAGGTCATTGAGCCCAACCGCTAACCTAGCACTGCCAAATCCACCACTGAACAATGTCAGTAAGCGCCACATCTACACGTCTTTTAAATATCGCCAGGGAGGGTGACTCCATCAGTATCCCAGGCAGCCTGTTCCAATGCTTGACAACCCTTCTGGTGAAGAAATTTTTCCTGATATCCAGTGTAAACCTTCCCTGGCTCAGCTTTAGGCCATTATCTCTTGTCCTGTTACTTGTTACTTGGGAGAAGAGACTGACAGCTGCCTTGCTACAACCTCCTGTCAGGCAGTTCTATAGAGCAATATAGTGTCCCCCTGACACACAGGTCATCTCCCTGCATATATTCAGTACATTTTCAGACACTTTGGCAATTCCAGTTCAGGCCAGTTCTGGAATATCATGGAATAAGAGCTGAATTTCAAGTTTGGGTTTGACATGTTTAAGGCAGTTTGTCATGATCCTGTGTTTAAATGTATCACATTGATATGGTTCTGTCACATGATAGTCTATATTTAAGTAATTTTTCCATCAACTGGAATAATATCTGATATGACTTTAATCATGAAGTGTAATGGATCCATTAACTGAGGACGATCATGCACAGAGAATCCAGAGACCTTTATCTCACTTTTACTATACCATTACATCTAGGGTTCAGTGTTCAGTGAAAGTAGAAAGCAAAAGAATCAGCTTAACTGCTCTGTGTAGGTGCTATGGTATATTTGGTTTTTCTTTCAGTGATGATTTTTAATCTAAATCACTTCCCTTTCAGAAGTGTGATGCAGAAACCAGGCTTTTAATCCTATTTATATGTTATCTTCCTGGGATGACAGGTTCTCCAATCTAAAAACATTAAGGACAAATTAACTAGATGAAATTTATTTTTAATATATTAAAGGAAGCTTATTTTCAATCTGGAAAACATTTTGGACTCTAGACTGGCTGAATATGGTAATACTTATTTGACATAGTACATTGAGATGATCTTAAGGTACTTTCCAACCCTAACTGTTCTATGATTCTATGATTCTATGATTTATAGTTTAACTACTTGTGACAAGCAATAATTTAAACGGTTGAAATCTTTGACTGTAACAGTAGATGTCTTTCGCTAACCTTTGTCATGTTTTGGGTATTAACCTTTAGGACTCCATCTCAGGTCATAATTAGGAAATAAATTTTCAATTGCTGTCACACAGAAATGCTAGTAAGGTTATTCCTTTGCACTCAGCTCCAAATATAACTAAAACATACTTCTCATTCTTAATAAATTCATTCAATGTTTAAAAAGGAGGAATAGTTTTAGTACAAATAAAATTTTCAGCTGAATCTGTGAATTTGGTATGGTTTGGGAACTTTCAGCCATATGTGTATGCTACAGCAAGTCCTTGCAGAGAGTCCAAAGAGAATCCCTTACTACAGGAAAAGAGCTCAGTGCTGTAAGTTCTGGTCAGAGCACCCATCACATGGAATAAAGTGAAGAATGTATATTAAAGTCTGACATGGAGTCTGATAATAATAAAATGGCTTTACTTACTTTCATGGAAATTTATTTTTTCTGGTTTAATTACTAACATTCTAACTTTTGCTTTGTGGCCTAGAAAAATACGAACTTTTTTCATATGAAAATTTCACCACAAAAATTGCATTTTGGCACATATCTCCTTTGCTATCATGATATTTCCCACTGCTTCCACTGAGAATAAAATCACATCACTGTGGCATGGAAGTCTATTTCTTACATGGAGAAGTAACAGCAGAAAATTATTGGCTGTATAATTGACTTTTTGACATTTAATGGCTAGGAACACGAAGCATTCTTACAAGCACTGGATTAGGGAAGTCCTCCTGGCTCACCAGTAAGAGCTACAAATTCATAAACAAAAGCTCAGCAAACTAAGCCATTTCCAGATACATATGAAAGGCGTATGAGCCTTTTGAGGGACTTTACTGGAGTTTTCTTTCGTTTTGAAAGGTATTTCATGTCTTCATCACACAGTAGTGTTGGTCAGAAATCTGACACCTTTCCAGTCCTGTTTTACCTAGCAGTAGGCACAGATGTTAGCCAAAATCTACAGCACAGATCAGACCTGAAACACTATTATTATAGTCTGAACTTCATCTCATACATGTAGACATATGATGAGCTAGTCAAAACCCGATCAATGCAATGGGCAACCTACTCTATTTGGCCCTCTTTCTGGCAGGGAGGATGGACTAGACAATCCCCAGAGGTCCTTTCCAACCTTAGCTATTCTGCAATTCCATGATGGGATGATGACTGAAGCCAGACCAAGAAGTCATTAGTTTCTTTCCTAAACTGTAATTTATGGCTATTTGGTCTATTGCTAGAAAAACTGAGGGAAGAGCTGAGCTCAGGGGAGAGACCTGAAGTATGGTGTGGAAGGAAGAAAGGAAGCGGGAGAGTTCCAAGCACTGGGAGTGGCAGAGAGATGGGAGATACTTCAACATAATCTTTTGGCTATGTGCGACCCCTTTCACGGCCATGCTTGGCTTACAATTCCATTCCTGAGGACAGCCAGGAAAAAAAAAACATTAATAGCACCAAGTAGTTTCCACCTCCCCAAAGAATGATAGTCGTCTCTGGCTGACCTCTGTAACAGGCTTGTCAGCCAGGAAAGGGCTCTGTGCACTCAACCAGCAGCTTATGGCTGTGCTCCTTCCCTAGGAGGCATGCTCACTGGAGTTCCCAGATGCCATTCCCAATGGTCCTGTTGCCTAATATGGTCCTCTGTCAAAGCATTGGGGGGGGGCTAGTGGTGGAGAAAGTGTTGCCTTCCGCATGCACCCCTCAGACCCCTGGGAGAAGGAGTGTCATTTGCTAGGTTGTAATGATGCTTCAGGGGAAAGAAGCTGCTGAGGTCCAGTTGCTGCTAGATTGATATCATAGTGCCAACTGGACCTTCTACTAAGCAACTGAAGTTAGTATCTGCCTTACAGTTTCTAAGACAGAAGGTAATGATCTCTTTTTTAAAGTTCTTTATTTAAGAAGGCAAGAATATTGCATTTCAGTGAGTTGTGTCATGCTAAACACAGACCTTGGTTATTCATTGGTTGTGAAACTTAGAAAGCAGCTGGCTATATATAATTCCACAGCAAGAAAAGGAATTAACTTAGTAGACCTTTCCACATGGCTACTCAGAAAGGATAGTATGTTAGGAAGTGTCGTTAGCAAGTAAAGTGAAAGCACAACTGTCACTTAGATAACATCTCCAGAAATGCTTTCATGCCTCAGTCATATCATGAGATGCATTCAGGATCCAGTCTGACATAGGATATGAGGACTTAGAGCCAAGACACTTTTATTTGTGATTTATAATTATCCATGCACACATACACTTTTGAAAATCAACAGGAGATGCAACTTGACCCATTACCAACAATTTTCCATCACTGTTCCATGTTTACCATGTCCAGTTTTTTCAGATAAAATAAGACTTAAAATCTCTTGCTATGTATATAGGTAACTAAGCTTTAGAAGTTTCGTGAGATTGCCCATGTGCTAAACTTACGGAAATGCTTAAGAACCATGTTAAAAATTTAATTCCATTTTAGGTCTGGCTGCACTGACATACGACCTGCAATAACCACAAGAAGCTTTGGCAGGGAACTAGCTGCATGCTTATGTGTGGTGGCCAGTTTTCAAGGGCTCTAAATTCCCACTTCCACTGGCTTCTGTGACAGCAACAAGCATAAAGACTCCCTGACATCATATACATTTCTTTTCACATGGGAGTGTAAACATAAAAAGGCATGCTGGCAGTTCTAAAACTGTCTCCATGTCCTACTCTAATACTGTGCTGAGAGCAAAGTATTCTGGAGACTTGCAGTTCAGACCATTTGAGAGCTACAGGTTATCAGCAACCATACCGGGAAAGATCTGGCTGGATAACCCTTCTCAGCTTGTGATTCTGTACTCATGACCAGGTTTGTTTCGGATAGGCTTTGGAACTCTGTGATACTGGAAATCGAGTAGTGGTGGGTTTTTGTTTTGTTTTTTTTTTTTTTCTTAGGTGAAGGAAATGACCTTGAGCATTAAATCAGGGCTTGCACAAACTCTAAAGACAGCATTTCACCATCACTAGGCTGGAATGTTCACAAAAGGGAAGAGGAGAATCTCCTGCACTAATTTCTCCTGCAGTTAGTTATAGATTGATTACAACCCAGAAAAGACTCTGGTCTGAAAAGCCAAGGGATTCAGGATCTCACCCAGTCTGACCAGAGGTCTTACTCCCATTTACCTGGAAGGGAAACAAGGACTTCTTATAGCTGCATCATCATGGATACAAGTATGATATCTGTTCTGTGTTACAGCAGCATATTAAAGTGACTTTCATATGTCAAAGAGCACGAGGATGGTCACTTAATGCTTTTTGTCACAAAGATCTGTCAACATCAAACTTGTGTCAAATTTAAGTAGGTGGATTAAGCTTGCGGACATAGTCTCAAGGGATCAGACATATAACTATTACATAGGCATTCCTAAAGTGCTGACTCTGCTACTCAGACAAAAATAGACAAAATACTAGTTTGGGGAGAGAACATGGCTCACCCTGTCCCCTGTGCAGTTGTGGGTAAGGATTGTCCCCTCTGTGTGGACCCTGTAAAACGTAAGAACTGCCATTGCTACACCATTACTGTTTTACCCTGGGGTGGGTGCTCCATTTAAGTAGGTGGGCATGGAAGGACCAAGGGTG